CAAATCTCAGAACAACTAAGTAAAATCATTCCTCGCTTTTAACGGGAAGGAAGCGGGTGAGAAAGGGAAAAGGACTTGCCCAAGACTCTCTGCTATTTTAGCGGGGTCAGGTAGCTCTTGGCTCTTCCCTAACTCTCTCTGTGGATCCTTCCTATCACCCTCATCTGCCACCCTCACCCGGAGGCCTCTGTATTCCTGCAAAGCCCCTGCACCCTACAAAGCACCTACCCGACTCCCTAGCAAGACAAGGGGATTCCTCTGCCCAGTGCCCAGCATGGAGGCTGGCACTGAATGGGAAAGTGCCCCGCCCCAGCCCATTCACAGGCATCTGGTCAGACCAGGACGGGTTAAACAGCAGGCCTGGCCTTGAGTCAGCCTTGGCATTGGAGAAGCAGGTGGCCCCATGTTTAACCAGATGCTTTGGGCCCTTCTGTCAACTCAATCAAGAACTCAATCCAGTCTGGTCTTCCTAGAGCTGAGACCTGGCCCCTCCCACCCACCTCTGCCTCTCTCCTCCCCGGGCCCTGGGGAGTGAAGAGAAGCCGGGGCTGCTAGGGAGGGGAATTGAGGGAGGAAGATTACAAAACTGGAGCAGCATGTGGCTGGAGTAGGAAGAGCCTGGTCCATGCTCTGCTCAGGCTTGCCATGCAGCCTTCCCATCCCTGCCTCCGTGTCCCCATCTGTACACAGAGGAGGCTGCTCTGGGTGGTCCCTCCTCCTGATGGGACTGGGCAAGAGCAAGGGCTCCTCAGACTCCAGATCCCCCTGGCTGGGGGTCCCCAGCTTGGAGAGACTTTCTCCACCACAGAGGTGAGGCTGGGTAAATCTTTAACTAGCGCCCCGGGGAAGCGAGCCTTTCCGGATGGATGACTGCCTGGGAGGGGGGATGGAGTGGGGGAGGTAGGTGTGCACAGCCAGCTGCAGTGTGGTGGAGAAGGGAGGGCAGGGTGGAGGGGAAGGAACGAGAGAGACCGGAGCAGAGCTAACTCCGGGGAGCGAAGCAGGACATGGAGGAACGGGGATCCCCCGATGGGTAAGCAGCGGTCCCGGGAGGTTCGAGGCCCACTGGGCACGGGACAGCTTAACTCGCCTCGCTGCCACAGGGACCCCGCGCGGAGCCTGGAGCAGGGCCCCGAGGGGCTGGAGACGCCCATCCAGGTGGTGCTCAGGTGGGTGCAGGTTGGCGAGGCGGTGCCTGAGAGGAAGGGGCCGATGGAGAGAGACATCGGGATGGACCCTCCGCCCTCCCGTCGGACCCCAGGGTGCGTCCCATGAGCGCTGCGGAGCTGCGCCGGGGGGAACAGAGCGCGGTGCACTGCTCGGGGACCCGGACTCTGCAGGTGAAGAACCCTCCCACCCCCAGGACCTAAACATCCTACCTCCCTTCCCCCAGGCGACTGTGTCCGGGCTCCGCCCTCCCGAGCCCCGCCCTCCCAGGCCTGGCCACGCCCCGCATCCCAGGGCACGCCCTCCCCGGCCCCGCCTGGCCCCGCCCTCCCCGACCTGGCCCCGCCCTCCCCGGCAAGGCCCCGCCCCCTCTCCACCGCCCCCTCCCTCAGGTGAGCCCCCCGGGCGGAGGCCCAGAGGTGGCGTTCCGCTTCGGCGCCGTGCTGGACGGGGCGCGCACCCAGGAGGACGTGTTCCGGGCGAGCGGTGTGCGGCGACTCGGGGAGCTGGCGCTGCGCGGGTGAGTGAGGCCCTGGGGATGCTCCGCACCCCATGACTCCCTGACCGGTCCGCCCCCCTTACCCCCCGCCACCACCCCCACCACGCCCGCTGCCCAGATCCAGCCACGCACCCCTGCCGCCCGCCCGCAGCTTCTCCTGCACCGTCTTCACCTTCGGCCAGACCGGCTCCGGGAAGACCTACACCCTCACGGGGCCTCCTCCCCAGGTGGGCTGAGCCCCCCTCCAGGGTCAGGGGAGGGAGGATGGGGGGAGGGAGCCCCTGAGAGAGCAGGCACCCCCCAGGGAAGGTCCTTGCTCAGTGTGACTCAGCCCCACGTATTTGCAGACAAGGCACCTGAGGCCCAGGGAGGTGGAAGGATTTGCCCAATATAGACTTCAAATTGTGTCCCTTTTTAAAACATATATTTTTGTTGGTTTCAGAGAGGAAGAGAGAGGGAGAGAGAGAGAAACATCGATGGTGAAAGGGAGTCATGGATTGGCTGCCTCCTGCATGCCCCCTACTGGTGATATTATAGAATTAACAAAGTTGGGGTGGGAGGGTGTCCTACCCTTAACCAGAATCCAACTGGGACCCTTCAGTCCCCCCACTGAGCCAAACCAGCTAGGGCAGATTCTGTCCCTTTTACTGACAAGCTCAGCCTTCATCCATGAAATGGAAGCGATAGCACTGACTGCGGGAAGTACATGAGATGTTATACGGAAACTTGGCCTTGTTCCTGAGGCATAGAATGGAAAGGCGCCAGGAAGGGTAGTTATGACTGTGGCAGTGTTTCTGCCCCCAGGGTGAGGGGGTGCCTGTACCCCCCAGCCTGGCTGGCATCATGCAGAGGACCTTCGCCTGGCTGTTAGACCGCGTGCAACACCTGGGCGCCCCTGTCACCCTTCACGCCTCCTACCTGGAGATCTACAACGAGCAGGTGGGGACGGGGATGAATGAAAGCGCACAATTGAATGGGGGCCTTGCTTCCCATGGGGCTTGGGTCAGGGGGTAGACTGGGGGGAGGGGAGGACTGATGTCAGTAAGGTCTGGGAGGGGCGTGGTTGGACTCGGGCCCCTTCCCTCACACGCCACCCTCCTCCTCTCCCAGGTTCTAGACTTGCTGAGCCTGGGGTCCCCCCGGCCCCTCCCTGTGCGTTGGAACAAGACTCGGGGCTTCTATGTGGAGCAGCTGCGGGTGGTGGAGTTTGGGAGTCTGGGGGCCCTGATGGAACTTCTGCAGATGGGTGCGTGCTGCCTCGGGGGAGCTTTGGGGTCAAGGGAAGCCTGTCCCTCTACTGCTCCCTGAATGCCCTCAGGGCCCCTGGCTGGAGCTGTGATGACCAGAGGTGACCCTTGTGGGAGCCAAGGGCCAGCACAACAACAATTCAGACACCGCCCAAGGATGCCCCATCCCGCCTGAGACCTCCTGCTGGTTCTGCCTTTCAAACTCTTTCTGGGCCAGGACCTCTGCCTCAGTCAGCCTCTTTTTTATTTATTTATTTTTTCTTCCTAGAGAAATCTTCCCAACTCAAGGCTCCCCCGTTCCAATCTGTGCTCTTCCAGGCGGCAGTCCACATCCCTCTTCCCCTCCAGACCCTCCCAATGTCCTGAGGGCAAAGGTCACGCCTATAGCCTAGCCTATAGGGCCCCTCTGTTCCAGTCCCATTCATTCATCCAGTGTTTATGAGATGTGTTGTTATTCACCGCAGCCTGCTTGCTGGTCCTGGGTGAGACTCCGGGCTCCTGGCCCCGTTATTCCAGCTGACCTCTCTGCTCGCTCCCCTCCCTTCGCACAGCAGTTTGAGGGACGTCTATCCAACGTGACTCTGACTGGCATTCCTCCACTCAGTCCTGTCTGAACCCGGCTCACCTGCTCGTGCTGGAGCCAGACCCCGCATCTCATCATCACCCTCTTTCTGGCTCCAGGCTAGCCCCTCCCTCCCAGGATGCCTTGGCCCTTTTCTGTTACTGCTCTTCCTCTCAGGCCCGGGTGCTGCCGCTTTCCCCCCTCCAGGCCTCAGCCGCCGAAGGAGCTCAGCACACACCCTGAACCAGGCCTCCAGCCGGAGCCATGCCCTGCTCACGCTCCACATCCGCCGCCAGACCGTGAGTGGCCGGCGTGGGAAAGGCTGGCGCAGGGCCCTCGCAGGGTCCGCCTCCGGGTGTAGAGAGAAGGCCTGGGTGTGCACCGGAGGACGGAGTGGAAAGCAAGTCCCCACCAAGCCCTGACCCCCTTCCCCCCCAGGCCCAGCAGATGCCTCCTGGGGATCTCGGGGAACACCCTGCTGGTGGGAAGCTGTGCTTCGTAGACCTGGCTGGCAGCGAGAAGGTGGCGGCCACCGGGTCCCGCGGGGAGCTCATGCTTGAGGCCAACAGCATCAACCGCAGCCTGCTGGCCCTGGGTGAGTCCCTCCCCTTGCCTGGCCTGTAGCTGTACAGGAAGCAGGGAGCAGGGGAGGAGGAGGAGGAGGAAAAGGAGGAGGAGGAGGAGGAGGAGGAGGAGGAGGAGGAGGAGGAGGAGGAGGAGGAGGAGACAGGGGGTTGTAGTGTAGAACTGTGAGCCAGGGCTACAGGCCTCCTAGCTGACGGGCGTCCCCCTTCTTAGAACATTGCTGAGGAGTCTAGAGACCCCGTAAACGTGATTCTGTTAGAATGAAGCTGCATTCTAACCTGGGGGGTAGCACACTCAAGTGCAGAGCAGGAGCCCTCAGACGCTCAGCCTGTCCCCGCGCGGCTGGGACACGGAGGCCGAGCAAGGGAAGAAGGGACAGACCTGTCTCCCCACCTCCACGCCGAGGGCCTTCCTTCACCTGCCACGTGCTGAGGGGACGCCTCTTCATTCAGTCCCTTTGCCAGGCGTTCCCTGGGCCCCTATGCTGGGCCCTGTGCTGGGCCCTGGGGTGTGGGCGGAGGTTCCTGTTCCGCACAGACCAGCTGCCTGGCCCCGGGCGAGGGGCATAACCTCGCTGGGCCTTCTCTTCCCCCCCACCCCCCAGGCCACTGCATCTCCCTGCTGCTGGACCCGCGGCGGAAGCAGAGCCACATCCCCTTTCGAGACAGCAAGCTCACCAAGCTGCTGGCGGACTCCCTGAGGGGGCGCGGGGTCACCCTCATGGTACCCGAGGGGAGGGGGGCCGGCAGGGAAGAGGGGGGCTGGAGGGAGGGGCTCCCAGAGAGGAACGCTCAGGGGCCTCCTCCCCAGGTGGCCTGCGTGTCACCCTCCGCCCAGTGCCTTCCTGAGACCCTCAGCACCCTGCGGTACGCCAGCCGCGCTCAGCGGGTCACCACCCGGCCCCAGGCCCCCAAGGTGAGGGAAGGAAGACCCAGGCAGGGGGGTGGCAGGGGCGATGGTCGGGGTCAGGCAATGGTCGGAACCTGAGTTGGTATCACAGATGAAACCCGGGATTGAGTCAGAGTTAGGATGAGAGTTGAAATCTTGCTGATGGGGCCATGACTGGGTCAGATGGGGCCGGGGCCAGGGTCACAGTCAGAGTTGTGGCAAGTCCCAGGTGAGAGTGTGATTTGGGATGTGATTCAGGGTCAAGCCTGGATCCCAACTAGTATCGTTTTTAAGTCCGAGTTGAGTTGGGAATCTGATGTGGAGTCTTGTGTGGGGTCTGAACCAAGATTGGAACAGAACCGACTCTGGGTTGGACTTGGAGCTGGGTCCGGCTTAGAGGGCGCCCTGCCCAGCTGGCACGCAGCTGAGGCCATAGGCACTTCGACGCATTGGGACCAGGTGCCCCCTCCAGGTGGGCGTAGCCTTGTGCCAGGGTGCGAAGCCCACAGGGGGAAGCATGGACTGGTTTTAGGCTCCCTCCTGCCCCACTCCCGGAGCCCTGCACTCTGCGGATGGCATCTCCGGCCTCTCTCTGCAGTCCCCGGCGACAAAGCAGCCCCCGCGCCTGGAAACGGAGATCTTGCAGCTCCAGGCGGAGAACCGGCTTCTACGGTCCCAGCTGAGCCAGATGGACCTGAAGGGTATAAGCTTCCAGCTGCAGGTGGGACGTGGAGAGCATCTGGGCTCCTGTGGTTCCAGCCATCTCCCCCTTCCTACTGCAGCCTCTGGATTCGGCGGGACCCGCGTAGCCTGGGCCCAGCAGAACCTCTATGGGATGCTCCAGGTGTTCATGCTGGAGAATGAGAGGCTCAGGTAGGGCCTGGCCAGGAGACTCCATACCCACTCCTTCTGCCCAGCGGCCCCCTGCCCGCTCCCTGACTCCTTTCCGGCCCCACCTACCTGCTGGGGCTCATACTGCCCTGCAGCGCGGGGCTGGCTGATACCCCCACCAGCCCTGCTTCCTGCCACCTCTCCCAGGAAGGAGAAGAGCCAGCTGCAGAGCAGCCGGGACCTGGCCCGGGACGAGCAGCGCGTCCTGGCCCAGCAGGTCCAGCAGCTGGAGTGGTGAGCACGGCCCCCAACCCCGGGACAGGCCTTGGGGCAGAGGGCAGGTGGGAGAATGGGACGGTTAGAAGTCTGACCCCCTGGATTCAGGCCACCTGGGTTCCGATTCCAGCTCTGTCACCTACTAGCTGGGTGACCTCGGTGAGGCAGGCCACCTCTCTCTGCCTGGGTTTCCTCAGCTATAAAATGGGGGTGATACGGTGCCCACCAATTAGGGCTGTCTTAAAGATGGGTCGCATGAGTTCGTATGTTGAGCTCTGCAAACGGTGCCTGGCACTCCGTAGTGCCCGGGGGTATTTGTTAAAACGGAGGGTGTGAGGACCAGCCTGGTGGTAGGGTTGAGGGCGGCAGGCACAGATCCCCTGTTCTTCCCAGGCGCCTCCTCTCTGCCTGCTACCTCCACCAGCCCCCCCTTGGCCCAGCCCCACCATGTCCCTGTGCGATGGCGCCAGCTCCCTCCTGCCATGTGAGTCTCTGCCCAGCCTGAAGTGGGGGGAAGAGGGAGACAGGAGTGACAGGGGGCCTCTGACATGCCCTCTTGCAGGCCCTGCCACCCCTCTGCTCCTGCCCCTGCTGCCACCTCTGCCCCCTGTGCCGAGCCCCACTGGCCCACTGGGCCTGCCCACGGAGGGAGTTCCACCTGCCCCAGGTAGGAAAGGCAGGGGGGCGGGGGGGAGGCTAGGAGAGCTGGGGCCTTGATCCAGGGGTCGGCTGGGTCCTGGGGAAAGTGGCTGATTGGGCTCCTGCCCGGGGTCCAGAATCACTGTTTACCGCGCCTCCGTCTCCCCATCCTGCCTTCTTCCAGGAACTCGCTCTGCCATTTGCTTATTCCTTCCTTCCCTTACATGCCACTCATTTATGCATTTGCTTCTTCACTCCTTCACTCGCTCGCTCTCTGGCTCTCCTCTGAGCGCTTTGCTTCGCACCAGCCCCTGTGCCGGGCACTGAGGATTCTGCCCACAGAAGATGTAAGCAACCAAGACCCCTCCCCTTCACGCCCATCCGGCAGTCTTGGTGCCCCCGGGGCAGGTGTGGTAGGGCTGGTGGCATTGTGATCAGCACCCGGAAGTGGGGCACAGAGAGGCAGGGCTGAGGTCACCGTGTTCGCTGTGGTCTCTCTTGCAGGTGTTTGGCCCTAAGGCCCCCGACGGCGTTCCCCTGTCTGCCCGGCCCCCACCCTGGGTGCCCCCGTGCAGCCCTGGCTCTGCCAAGGGCCCCGGAGAGAGGTGGGCCCAGCCCTGGGGCACTGGGATGGGGGGCAGGGGAGGCCTGGGCACTTGAAGGCTCACCTCCCACCATCCAACTCACCCTGGCCCAGGAGTCACAGCGACTGGACTCAGACCCGAGTCCTGGCGGAGATTCTCACTGAGGAGGAGGAGGTGGTGGTGCCCTCTGCACCCCCCCTGCCCCCGGGGCCCCCGAACACGTCGCCGGTGTTGAGAGGTGAGGAAGGGAAAGAGGGGGGAGCCCCTAGGGTTTTCTGGGATCCCCAGGCTGGAACGCACACTCTCCAGAACAGTCTTTCCATTTCTGAAACAGGGCACAGGCCAGGGGGTCATTCCTAAGATCTTCCTAGTTTCCAGACTTGGAATTCTCTTCTTCCCAGGGCCACCTTCATGCCCAGATGCACACCAAAGCCCAGGGCATATAGGAAGGAGAGGGGACGGGGGGGGGGGGGGGGGGAGTAGGTACCATCTGAAGCTTCCCCAGAGATGTTTGACCTGATGACCCAGGGTAGTGCAGGCCGTGAGTGTCCCCGTCCCCCTCAGGTGGGGCCACGGTTCCAAACCTGGCCCGGAGGCTGGAGGCCCTCAGAGACCAGATCGGCAGCTCCCTGCGCCGCGGCCGGAGCCAGCCAGCCCCACACGAGAGCAAACGGAGTCCCAGCCGAGTCCTCCCTCCCTGCTGAGCGCAGACTGGGAACACAGGAGGCCGCCGTGGGACCTTGGGCTGGGCTCTATGCTCTGGGGCTTCAGTCTCCCCATCTGTTAAATGGGGACAGCAGCTGCCCATCCATTCTGCAGCCTGGCTGGGCAAGGGCCATGCCTGAGGGTCAGGGGTGACGGCTGGGGGGCCGTTTGGGGCAGTCAAGGTAGGGTGCCACCCCGGACTGTGAGTAATGAGACTGGGTTCAGGAGAAGCCAGGCAGCAGATGATGACATGTACATGACAATAAAGAGGCCTCAGAGCCAAGTCTGGCTGGTCCTGTAAGTCACTCACTTCCCTTGGGGACATCCCGGATGGGGGTTCTTGGGTGAGTCTGAGGAAGAGAAGGCAAGGACTCTTGGCAGAAGTGTGTGTCCCCTTGTGATCTTGAATATTCCAGGTCCCATCTCCTTTCATGTATGACACGCATTTTAACTGAGCAACTATTATGCACCACTGGGACAGCACGGGGAATCAAATGATGAGCATCCTCTCGGGATGGTCATGGGGATCAAATCCCCGGCTATGTGGAAGGAGGGCAGCACGGAGCTTTGCCTATGGCAGATGAGTTAACCCACATGTGTCAAACACAAGGCATGCGGGCCAAATCCGTCCCGCCAGGCCTTGCAATGTGGCCCGCACCACGCTGTCATCACTGCACTCCGCTGCGTTTCCATCACAATGACAGTTTATGACTGTTCAGTAAACCATTCGGCCCGCGATTTAGGCTGGATTTTAGATTTTGGCCCCTTCTCTGATTGAGTTCGACACCCCTAATAACCCAAAGCAACTTGTAGCCAACAAGGCAATTCGATGGAATTGACCATCTGGATTTTAAAAATTAATCATCCAAACCAATATTTACTGAGAACCCACGGTGGGCCAGCGTTGAACAAAGCATAAGAATCCTTATCCTCATGGACAAAAAGAAAATAGCAATGTCCGTGTGAGGTCAGTGGTCAATGCTGCGGAGCCAAGCAGTGGGAGGTCCCTCGGCCAGGGCAGGCGCAGCTCTAAGTCAGGAGCAGGGAAGGTCTCACGCAGGTGACATTTGTGCAGAGGCCCGAGGGAGGGGAGGAGGGTGGGCCTGACATGCCATGAAGTCACTGTTCCTGCTCTAGGTGATTCTGATGCCCCACCAGCTTGGGTGGCTCCTCCCCTGCCGGAGCCCTTATCTCACTCACTCCATCATGGCCCTGCTTGCTGGGAGGTCTCCGACCCCAGGCAGGGAAAGCCCCTGGCACTGAGCGTGAGACTTTCCTTAGCTGCCTTGGGAGGACAGACAGGGACCACCCAGGGGGACCTGGCTGTTGCTGCTTCATTTGTGTTTGGATGATTCCTTTTCCCATTGGAACCAGCCACGATTTCCCAGTTTCCTAGTTCCAGCTCAGCAGAGCTCCCACTTCCTTTCCCAGAGATAGACGCAAGGGGATAAGTCTCCACGTCCCCCATCTCCCAGGCGCCATGCTCACTCTAGAGCTGCCACTTGTCCAGAGACCCGAAGCACCAGGACATCCATGGGATCCAGTGACCTATCAGGATCTTCGAACCCTGTAGTCCTCCCTGAGGATTTGTGAATTGCAGAGGACGTGTCTGGAACCCTGGAAGCGATAGGCCTTCCCCGGAGTGCTGGGATTCGGGGCGCTTTGGCCCCATGAAATAAGATCGTCGTTCTCCAGGAGAGTTAGACTTAGAAGATGGTCTCTGGTACCTCAGAGCGTTAGAACAGGGTGAGGGCGGTTCTCGGGAATCCTGGACCACTGAAGGGATCACCCAGAATTCCGGATCCCTGAAGGATCTCGCTGAAGTTTTAAAACCTTGTGTAGACGTTAGGAAGGAGTCTCTGGAATCTTTGTCTGGGGGTAGAGATGTTCACCAAGAGCTTGAGGGTCCTCCAGAAGTTTCCAGAATGCTGGCCAATCTAGAGAGCAGCCTAGATGATTAGGGGCCCTGTATGAGTTCTCCAGATCCTTGGGGACCCGACTCCCAGCCGGTGCAGGAGGGGTTGTGGGACAGCATGAGCACCGGGAAGATCACTCCTGCGGGTACTTGTGTGTAAAAGGCCCCGAGGCCTGATGAGGTGAAGTCAGAGTGAGAGTCTGTGAAGATCCTACTGCCGAGAACACCCTGCCTCACCTCTGTCTGCTCTGCCACCTTCCCTCAGAAGTGCCCAGCTTTCTCTTACTCGGGGTCTTTCTTCTCTTTAATGACACATTTGCCCCAAATTCACATTTATTCAATGTTATAGACAACATTTCAACCGCTTCGAAGGCTATTTTGTGTCCTCTTAGGTGACATTTTCCATTTCCATCCTCTGGCCCCCCTGCCTCCATCTTCTGGTCGAGCTTCCAAAGGACTCATCTTCCTTTATTTTAAGCCAGTGGTCGGCAAACTCATTAGTCAACAGGGCCAAATATCAACAGTACAACGATTGAAATTTCTTTTGAGAACCAAAAATGTTAAACTTAAATTTCTTCTAACGCCACTTCTTCAAAATAGACTCGCCCAGGCCGTGGTATTTTGTGGAAGAGCCACACTCAAGGGGCCAAAGAGCCGCGTGTGGCTCGTGGCTCGTGAGCCGCAATTTACTGACCACAGTTTTAAGCAAACACACAGGTGGGGCCCGGTGGGGCAGGTAGGGGTGGCCTTGCTCTGAAACAATGAGTAGCAGCTGCTAGAACTTGTAGACTGATTGGGGCTGTCGTTGGAGACTAGGACTGGAGTCATGAGACCTGAGTTCGAAGCATGTAGCAACAGACCTACTATGTGAGCCAGACAAGCCCCCTGGCCATCACTGACATCTACATGGGCTAGCCATCCAGGAAGACCTTCGGGAGTTGGCCCGAGGTGTCTTCCTCAGGAACCTTCATTCAGCTCAGGGCTCTGATCACACACACTCATCTGTTACACACTAAGTCCCTACTTGAAGGCCAGGCCTGCTAGATCAGCCTTATCTGTTCCCAAGGAGCTTCCAGACAATTGGGGGGAAAGGACAATAAAGGCAACAATTGGTAGCCATGGATCGAATGACAATCAGCAAATGTATGTGGTGCCAAGCATTGTTCCCAGTACTTGCCATGTATGAACTCGCTGACTGCTCGTAACTACTCTGAGAAGTAGGTCCATTATTATTTTCGTGTTGCAGTTAGGAAACCAAGGCAAGAAGAGGTTCAGGAACTTTTCCAAGGTCACACGCTGGCAGGTGGCAGAAGTGGGATTTGTACCTGGGTGGTCTATTTGTACCGGGGTGGTCTTGATTATGTGTCCTCAGCCACCATGCCAAGTGCCACCCAGTAGGACCACAGAGGAAGGGCAAATAGAGGAGCAGTTTCTATCCAGCTCAGGAGCCTCTGAGCACATGGGGCAGCCTCCCTGGAGAAGTTGGTCTCCGTCAAAGCCCAGCACAACCCAGCAAGGCCAGACCATGCCGAGGCCTTTGATGGGGCAGAGGATGGGACTTCCCGAGGTCTTATCCCTCCACGGAGGAACCCACACCAACCACAACGATAAAGGATTCCTTTACAAACCACCCAAATGAAGCAGGATTCTGGGAAGCCTGAGCTGGAATCACCCACTCCCTCTCTCCACCTCTGATTGCCCCCCATAGAGCTGTGTGAGCCTGAGCAAGGTGGTCAAGGTCTCTGAACCTCAGTCTCCTCTGTAAAGTGAGGCTAAGGTGGGTTTACCCTGTGAGGAGTGAAGAAGCGCTCATAAGGGCTGACATGAGGATGGAAGAGGGGATTCATATACATTGTTTAGGATAGAGCCTGGGATGCGGTCAGAGTTAACTAAATGCTAGTTGTTATTACTAATGGATGCTTTTGGCACAAACATTCTGCCATCCCCCTACTCACAGGAGAGGAATTGCATTCAGGTCTGGACTCCGGTTATATACTCATGAACTCGCTGACGTCAGCTCTGCGGGCTCCTTCCTGCAGGGATTCTTCCCGGGAGAGAAGTGTCCATTCAGGACGCTCGCCCAAGGAAAGGGCTGGGAAGGGTTCCTGCTGCCCTTCCCCGGCAGCTGACTGGGAGGGATCGTTTGTCTTCGCTGAAGCAAGGCCAGCGGGACTTTCCCAAGAGGCTAGCATGCCGCTTGGTTTCAGAAAAAAGCTGAGTCCCTCCGAGGAAACAGGGTGACATCATCTCGGCCAGCCAGGAGTCAGGCCGGCCCTGGGTGCCTGCGTTCACGGACTGATAAGAGCAGCCTGAGAGGGGGAGGAACTGCCTGGGACCTTCCTGGGGGCAGGCGGGCCGCTGGGAGTTTATTTCTCTGGGAGCCCTTTCTCCGGGGAATGGGACCCTGGGCCACAAGCTCTGTCCCAGAGCAGCCAGGCCTCAAGGACACTCAGCTCCAAAGAGCCTCACCCTTTGCTCCTCCAGGTTCAGCAACCAGCTCTCACAATCAGGACGCTAAATGGGCCCTCCCCCAGGGCCCTCCCCCAGGGCACCTCGCATTTACTATTTGCTAGGCTCTCTCCAAAGAGCAAGAACATGACAAGTTTCTCATCATTTAATTCTTCTACACCACTATGAGCTCTTTTTAACCCCATTTCAGAGAAAAAGCCCCACGTTCAGAAAGGTGGAGCCACTTAGTGAAGATCTAACCGGCCAGAAGGGGTCATGGCCATGACCAGAAGCCAGGTCTGTCCGGGTGCAAAGCTCAGCCGCTTAACCATCACTGCGGGACGAAGCCTTGGGAAATCCTCCCAGACACACAGACTAATTCAAAATCGGAGGCCCAAGGAAAAGCCACCGCAGAGCGAGGGCTCGTTGCTTTTTAAATGGTATCACTCGTCCTATCACTCCCTCTCTTGCGAGTAATTAATTATTCAAGGACTTGGAGAGGGTTTCCACCTCCCAGTCTCCCTCAGCTGTCTTCTATATGGGTGGTCCTCACAGCTCTAAGTAAGTCAATGAGTTCGTATTCACCAAGCACCGACTAAGTCCCCAGCACCGAGCTAGGCCCCGAAGAGGGAGAGAAGGGCCAGGTTGCGGGGGGCAAACATGGAGCATGCTCTCGCTGGGGATGGGAGAGCCCTCCTGAGGAGCCCAGGGAGAGGAATCAGGCGCCCCTGCTCCAGGTCTCTCTCAGAGAGCATGGCCCGAGGTCCTACTATCTGTCAGCTGTGGGAGGGGAGCAGAGTGACTCGGGTGTCCGGGAGGCAAACCTGCGTATGAATCGCTTATCTACTGGCTGCCTGCCCTTTGACCCTGGAACACCTGATCTCCCCGCCTCGGTTTCCCCGTCTGCACAAGATGACTACTATTGCAGTAAAATGGCAGAACCTTAAGGGGTGGGCTCCACAGCACGTGCTCCTGGAGCGCTCAGCTCATGGCACGAAGTAGGACCTTCCTGGAGTGACTTCTTGGGGTACAGCCACCTCCTGGTCGGTAGCGGCTGTTCCCACTTCTGGCTCGCCAGGAGGACCTCCCAGGGAACTCTTTGCAGAGGCGCCCCAGGTTCTGGAGCCGGGGTGGAGATAGACAAGGTGGCGCTGAATGTTTTGCACTCACCATTGTCAGCAGGTTCGGGGAGGAGCGCTCTGGTCCGGACAGTTCCACGGGCCTTTGCCTGAGCCTCTGGCTCCAGGCCCGTCAGGGGCCTGCTGTGAGCAATCCCGCCGTCTTTCTATTGTACTGTACAAGGCCTCTGCTGCCCTCTAGTGGGCATGGGGTGCTCTCGCCTTCTTGTGGCCTGCGTGGAGCTTGCCTGGTACAGGCTGTGCTAAGCATCTGTGACGACATTGGTCCCGCCAGTGTGTACACTTGGGGAGCACTTTCACAGATGCCCCTCCCTGGTTCTTACTTAAGCCTGGTCAAGTGAGTTATTATTGCCCGTGTTTGGAGACCTAGATGAGGAAGGGGAGGCCAGGGAGGGAAGCCCTGCCCCACAGTCACCCGGCAACTTACTAGGACTGGGACCCGGATCTCTGAGTGGCCTAGCTCTTTGGGACAAGGGTCGGGGACGATAACAAAGCCTTGAAATCATGGGCTGTGAGGACATCTCTCGAGTCCAGGGTGCTGTTCACCTCCGGCTTTGCCGGGAATGGGTAGACTTCGGCTCTAAATCCAAGGGTCAGGCATTTGTGGCAAGGCCGGCAGCTGGTCACCTCCTCTTGGGGAAAGAAGGTCATCTTCTGTGCCATCCCCTTCCATCATGAGCAGAGGGAGGCCTGAACCTTGACCACAACCTTTGACCTTAGTTCTGCCCAATGTTCTTGATGTCCCTGCTGGCCTAGTCACCAGGTTTCCCCCTCACCGCCCCCTACCCCCCCCAAACACATACACACACACACACACACACACACATACACACACACACACACACATTCACACAAACACACACAAAAAACAAAAAACAGGTCCCAATGCCCAGCTCCTCCCTTCTTTCTGGAAACCCCACAAGCTGGATGACCTTGAACAACTTCCATTCCTTCCCGGAACCCGTGTTTTCATCTGATAACGAGGCCTCTCTTCCCCACGGCTCGGGACCCCTCTGAGGCTCTGAGGCCTCCTACGTGGCCCTTCCCGTGACCTGGCTCCAGACCTGGCCGGGTATCTTGGATTCCTGTGTCCCCTGGGAGGACAAGGGACCCAGGGCCTCCGTCACCCACCCTGATGGCCAGAGAGGGAAGGCTGTTAGCACCTCCTAAGCACCACCAGCCGTGCACCTTTGAGTCCCGGGTTAATTTTTTAAAAGCAGCTCAAAGTCCAGTGGGCCTGGCAGGGTTTGCTCCCTCTGTGCTGGTTAATAATCTCGAGAGAGCAAACAGCCCTGGAGACAGCAGTCGCCATCCTGGCCGGGCCTCGGGCCTCTCCCCTCCCCCAGAGAGACTGTGCGGCTGGATGAGCAGCCCTGTCCAAAGGGGCCCAGGTTCCTCTCCCCCCGTGAGCCTCGGGCTTCCCGTGAGCCAGTGGGGCTGACCGTCTCATGCAGACCTGCTGTGAAGGTCTGAGGAGCCATCATGGCATGCCGGAGGCAGCCTTAACAGGGCGTTCTATTTCTATTGTGGGTTTTTTCCAATATTGATTCTTCTTTCTATAAGTGGATTTTTATTGATTTCAGAGAGGAAGGAGAGAGAGAGAGAGAAACATCAATGATGAGAGAGAATCCTTGATTAGCTGCCTCCTGCATGACCCCTCCTGGAGATCAAACCCGCAACATGGGCCTGTGCCCAGATTGGGTATCGAACCCGGGATCTCTTGGTCTATGGGTGGCTCTCCATGCACGGAGCCATCACAGCCGGGCTCTATTTCAGTTATTAATGACTCCTTGTCATTTGCTTTTCTTATACAAGGCCTGGTTTCCCCAAAGACAGACCCACCCTGAGTCTGTCACACAGGTAGGACAGTGGACTGGCACACACATGGCCTCAAGCTCTGGCAGACAGAACGGGGACTGTCATCTTCCCGTTGAGAGAAGTGGGCTGCAGAGAGGGAGAGTCACTCCACAGTCACACAGAACCGGAAGCCAGGGCTTCCCGCTCCCACTTCTCCGCACCCCAGCCAGCAGAGAAGGCAGCTCTCAACCCCACCAAATGCTGCCTCCTCCAGCAAGGCCACTCACCAGATGGGAGACCCTGGGCAAGTCATTTGCCTCTGGGAGACTCACATTTCCTATTCGTGAGAGGAGGACTTGCACCTAGTCTATGGGGTGCTTGTAGGGATGGAATTCAGTTCCTGGTCAGTGTTAAGTGCTGGAACCTGGCAGGTGCTCAGTGAATGGAAGCTGCTATCATCATCATCATCATCGTCATCATCATCATGGTTTCTACCATAACTTGCTGGGGCTATGGGAAAACAGTGGTGAGAGAAGGAACCCTGGGGACAGGAGGTCATTGATTTCCCTATGGTCTCTGATGAGTTACTTCCCCTCCCTGGGCCTCAGTTTTCTCATTAAGAAATGGGCTCCATCAGGCTCATCCTCCTGATTCCCAGGTGGTCCAGGTGGAGTGACCAGCAGGAAGTTCAGAGCTACCTGGGTCCTTCACCTTCACATGCCCCATGACAAGGGGAGCCTTTCTGGGACTGAACCCAGCCTGGGCCGCAGCCGGTCTGTTGTGTTTGGTCAACGCCTCCTCCGAAACAGATCTCCTGGCCCCAGCCAGAGCCCTACAGGGATCGACCAGCCCTGGCCTCGGGGACCTGATTGGTCCTGGTTGAGCAGGGCAAACACCAAAGTCACCTACACACCAAAGGTCCCTTCCCCAGCCTCAGTTTGCAGCCGGCTTCGTCCAGGAGTTCCTCTGTCCCCACTGAGCCTGTGAGTAGCCCCCTAGGAGAGGAGCCAGCACCATGTGGAGTCTCGGGACCCTGTTTCTGACTGCCTGCCTGGCAGTGAGTGCCAACCCTGTGCCCACACTGCTGGACAACATCCAAGTACAAGAGAACTTCGACATATCTAGGGTAAGGCTGGCCTCTGGGGTGACGGAGGTGAGGGGCTGGGGGCAAGTCTTGCCTGCCTCCGGGTCTCGCTCTCCCCATATGGAACTCAGGGGTGGGTCCCTAAAGGCTTTTCCTGCTCAGACTGTCTGGGGCAGTGGTCGGCAAACCGCGGCTCAAGAGCCACATGCGGCCCTTTGGCCTCTTGAGTGTGGCTCTTCCACAAAATACCACAACCTGGTCGAGTCTATTTTTGAAGAAGTGGAGTTAGAAAAGGTTTAAGTTTTAAAAATGTGGCTCTCAAAAGAAATTTCAATCGTTGTACTGTTGATATGTGGCTCTGTGGACTAATGGGTTTGCCAACCACTGGTCTGGGGTTTGTTGAAGCAACAACTCCATGCCCCTGTCATGCTATGGGACTCGTCTGACATCCCAAGTCCAATGCCCTCACCTTCGAACCTGTCCGGAAAAGGTTTAATGCTGACCGCTAGCCCTGCAGCCCCCCAACAATGCCCAGCCCTCAACCTTTAGCCACTCACTGCATCCCACAGCACCTGTTTGCCTGTCCCGGGTCCCCCGCCCTCACATGCTGGGGGGCACAAGGCGGGCATGTGGGGTCATGGGGAAAGGGAAGCAGGACAGAGATCGGGGCTGATGAGAATATGAGGCCTGGACAGGGTGCTGTGTGCGGGGAGCCCCGGGACTTCCTTCCTGGCCCAGCTCTGTCCCAGGCACTGGGGGACCCGGGACAGGACCTTGTCTACTCAGGTCTCCACATGGGTGTAAGGGGCTCTCATACTGTCCTACCTGTGCGTCCTGTGGGTTTGACTTCCTCTCAGGGAGAAGGAAGGGTCGTGAGTGGAAGGGTCTGGGATGGAGGAGGGTCTCAGGCTCGGCACCCTCTGCAGAGATGGAGGGCTCTCTAACCCCCTGACACACAGTCAGGAAAAGGAGACCTTAGGCCTGTCCCACATCAGCTCAAGGACAGGCGACACTTCCCAGCATGCAGCTCTCAGAGGTGGTGAGTGCCAGGTCCCCTGACTCGCTCTTGGAGAGCAGTGGTTGATGATGACTTCAGGGTACGAGGGTGGGGACTCCATCCAAAAGAAGAGCACAGCCCTCAGCTCTCAGCAGAGTAAGGCCTTCTCTGGGCAGGGGACCCGCCTGCACCTCTCGCGCCAAGCTTGCCATGTGCCTAAGCTCCACCATCAGGGCTCCATCCGCCCTTGAAGCTGTGTGGTCTCCCATTAGCGATAAGATGTTGCCACCAACAATGGAGTCATTCAGAGGAGGGAGGGGAGCAGACATCTGCCAACTCCTCCTCAAGGTCAGAGGCAAATCCAAACCCGAGCACTGTGGCTGCCTCCTAGTTCTACGGGAAATGGTTCCACGTGGCCATGGGCTCCACCTGCCCCCACCTGAGGAGGTACAAGGACAGGATGAGCATGAGCACGCTGATGCTGGCAGAGGGAGCGACGGAGGGGCAGATCAGCACGACCAGCACTCGATGGCGGTGAGCCTGGGGATGGTGTGGGAGGGGTGGGGAAGGGTACCAGGGTTAAACAAGATCATTAAAAATGTTACTATCCGATTTAAAAAGAAGAGAGAGAGGTTTGGGAAGAGCAGGAAGGAGAAGGGGGTGAGGGAGCATGGCCTCGACCAGCATTTACCTGGCCTTGGATTTGTTCACTTCCAGGAGAGGCGTCTGTGAGGAGTTCTCTGGGACCTACGAGACAACGGACACTGCTGGGAAGTTCCTCTATCACAGAACTATTAGTAGGTTGCGTCAGAGGACATACCACAGCTCTCTCCTTCGCCCAACAATTCCTTGACCCCTTCAGCTCTCTTTCCTTGTCTCCCCCTCTAACCTTTCCTCCTGTTGTTCCGAGATGTCATCTAGCCTTCTTCCAAATGCTTCCTCTCTCTCCTCCTCCTCCTTTTCCTCTTCCTCTTCCTCCTTCTCCTTCTCTCTCTTTCCCTCCCTCCTCCTGTTTCTCTATCACTCTCTCACACATGCACATCCATGTGTGAAAGTGAGGTAATATCAATATTTCATCAGTCCTCATGGTAGGCATCTGCAATCAGCTGATAAAGGTTTGCCAAGCACCTACCACGCACAGAGTGCATGGTGCCATGTGATAGGGGCACTTGGACGTGAGTTTATTCATTTATCCAGCAAATGTTTATTGAATATGCTCTGAGTGTTAACTAATTGTGCTCAAGGTTGAATATATGAATGCTTGGGTAGATGGATGGTTGGAGTGAGAGAATAAACGAGTGTTTGGCAAATGAATAAACATATGTATGAGTGGCAGATAAGTGAACTAATCAATCCTCTAATAGATAAATTGATGATTTCAGGAATGGAGGGAAGAAGAAAGAAAGGAAAGAAGGAAGGGAGGAGGGAAGGATGAAGGAAAATGGGTCCATTTATGGATTGATATATGGAGACGATGGATGGATGAAGGGATGGTAGATGAATTAATGATAACTCTCTGGAGGAGGTGGACGAATAGATAAACAAGAATATGGGAGGGATGGGTAGACAGGATGGCTGAACAGGTGATGTGTGGGTGACCAGGTGAAGGATCTCGGGCCACGGGAGTCTTCTGACCACTAAGCCCTTCATCTTCCTGCATCTCCCATGCAGAATGGCCCATCACCATCGAATCCTATGTGGTCCACACCAACTATGATGAGTATGCCATCATTCTGAGCAAGAAAAACAGCCGCCACCATGGACCCACAATTACCGCCAAGCTCTACGGTAATGGCCTGCCACCAGCTAAGCTCATTGGAGTGGGGGTGGGAGGGGACCTGTGGTTTAAGGACAGTGACATGGGGAGGGAAGGAGGGTTTTTGCTTTTTCCTTCTGATAAATTTCAGTGACAGGACAAGTGGGAGCATTTGCTCTGCCTGGAGGAGGTAGAACTCAATCTCTCATTCAAGGCAGAATCCTCTTCTTTTGATCTCTAACATTCCAGACCGGAGAATTCCAGAGCCCCCCCTTAAGGAACCCGTGGAAGAGCCCTGTATGGGAGTGGGGAGGCCTGAGTGGGGGGTTGGAGGGACCCTCTTCCTTGTCTGAAGCTTACCTTTCCATCATGCATTGAAGAGGTCAAGTTGGACCAATAGTTTTCAGCCTTCCCCTAAATGAAAATTCCTGGGCAAAATCCTCGCAGGTCCTGCCCGCCCAGGCCCTGTGGTTCTAGGATCTTCTCTGCTTCCCACTTGCAGGGCGGGAGCCCCAGCTCCGGGAGAGCCTGCTGCAAGAGTTCAGGGAGGTCGCCCTGGGTGTGGGCATCCCCGAGGACTCTATCTTCACCCTGGCCGACAGAGGTAAGCGGCATCCCCGCCTCACCTCACACTTCTGTCTCCTCCTCATCCTTCATGGCCCCCAGAGGGCATCTTCCTGGCCCCTGGTTCTGCCTTGCAACCCTCTGAGATAAGCAGAGTGATAGTCTTCGCTACCGAGAAGGCAGCTGGGGCCCCTGGGTTTGCTCAAGTCACACAGCGTGCACTTGGGAGAGCCTGGACCAGACCCAGTTCAATGTTCAAAGCTACTGTGACGTGTCCACGTGCGGTGACAGCCAGACTCCACTGGTACCTCTTAGGGCTGAGGCATGGCCTCCAGAGTTAGAGCACCTACGTTCCAACCGAGCTGTGTGGCTGGCTTCCAGCTGGTCGGTCTTCCAGAGCCTCATTTTCCTCATCTGTAAAATGGGGGTAACACTGTCTCCCATATACGCTGCTGTGAGGTGTCAGTGAGATAAAGCCGTTAAATACAATAGCACCGTGCCTGGGGCCTATAAGCGCTCAACCCATGTTAGCCATCGCTGCCCTGTGATGGTGCAGAGGGCAGGCTGGTGGTGGGGTGGCGAGGACGCCGATGGGGAAGACGGTGCAGCCACCAGCCCGTAGCTTTTCTTGTGAATGGCCTGCAGTAAGCCACTGGGCGGAGCCATTCATGAAGTGGGCCATTGCACGGGGCAGTTCCCAGTGCAATGCCCACCTGGCAAGCAGCCAGCACCCTGAAAGCAGCAAAGCCCCCTCTGGTGTAGGGTGCCCCCAAGTGTGGTCCTCTCACTCACCCCGTCTCCTGTCCTCTGACCTAGGGGAGTGTGTCCCTGGGGAGCAGCAACCGGATCCCACTTCAGCCCCAGTGAGTACTCTTTCCCCTACTCCACCTCCCTGGCCCCCCCACCCCCCACCCCGCTTGAGTTTTGCTGCCCTCGCTTAGGTCCTGCTGTAGTGGTGCTGGTGGTAGTGGGTGGGGTCGTTGAGAGGGGTCGGGGGAAGGCAGCGAGGGGCTGGGGTTATGAGGTCAGTCCCACCTGGGCTCAATCTTGGTTCTGCCATTTAGGCTTCTTGCAGCACCACCTGGACCTCGATTTTCTCTCAAATGAAACGGGGTAGCTAGTTGCCTTCTAGGAGCTAGAATTCAATGACAGGTTACAGAAGGTCTTAGCATGCTGCCTAAAACCAGTGAAATATTTAATAATGAAGTAACAATACTCAATAAACGAAAATATAATTACCTTATCTTAAAAAATAAAAAAGAGCAAACCTGAGAGCAAGCAGCTTCTCAAACCACCGGGCAGAACGTCTTGGCTGCTTTTTGATCTTTGGGGCTTCTGTATGCCTCTGTTTTAGTCTCCTGCTTTTTGCCACATTGACTGAGCTTTATCCATCCTTTTTTTCTCTGATTATTTGAAAACTACATAGCCTAATTTTTTCTGCTGGTATGTGTATAAATCTATATATGTGTGTATAAATATATATAATGTTTCCTTAGAAACGTATTCTTGAAAATTGAAAAACTACAAGAAAGCAAAAAAAGGACAATGTCCTTATTCCTGCATAGAATTAACAGTTAACATATTGTTTGCTTCTACACTTTAAAGAAAAATTACCACTGATTTGATAAAAATTTATATATATATATATATATATATATATATATATATATATATATAAAGAATTAAAACAATGCAGAAAAGTATTAACAAAATTTGAGTTCTTTTAAAATTCCATACCCGGAAACTGCCAGCATCCACATCATTCCAGGAATCGTGACATGCACGAGTGTGGGGAGGCCAAGTGGCAGGAAGAGTGGGTAGACAGAGGCACGGGTTTAGATATATTCTCATTAAGAGGGATTATATAGCAGAAGCTACTTCTAATTTTAAGAGCTTTCATTGTAGTTTTATATGAATTAAAAAAAAATGAAGTGGACTTCTTGAACTCCAAGTAGATATTTCTTTACCACAAGAGACTCACTTCTTAAAGAAGTCTCCAGGCAATGTCAAGGTCAGGAGAAAGCACTGTTAGAGGATGTCTGTTGTCTGTATGATTTGAAGAACAAATGTTCCACCTCCTGTCCCCTTTTTCTTTACGTTGTCCAGATCATTGCTGTCGCCATAATTCCCAGTCATATTTAAATCAATTAGTTGTTATTATGCTGCTGCTTTTTCTTGGCTTACGGTTCCATGTGTACAGACTTGTCTACCCAGTGAGATGGAAATGGTGTCTTTTCCCACATCTTTATAATCTCCCCCCTGAGCCAAGATCAGTGCTGAACAATTGTAGATGCTGAACAAGGCCACTTGGGTTGATTTCATTTTCCTAGTTAATGACTTCATACATTTTCCCAATTTTCCGTTAATAACCCCATCTAATCCAAGCCTTCCAGACTTTTTCCTGCTACTGGAGGATCCTGATTATTGATTGCCAGGCTGGCATTTACCCCTGGATTCTTCATTGCTTTTAGGAATAAAACTTGCCTATGCCCACGATTCAATGAAGGAATTAGTTATTGCTTTGCTATGCTGTTAAGCCTTGATATTATGCAATGTTGGTCTAACTCAGCAAGTGATTCTAATATGTGCTTTCTACTCACAGTTCCCCATGGGGGTTGGCACTGGCACCTTCAACGGCCTCAACGAGCCTGCAGAAGGACAAGTAAGGCCTTTAACTCTTTTTGCTTCTGTTTACACGCCCCCACGCCTCCCCCCCTTGCCCCCCCCCCCCCCCCCCCCAGCAAATGCTACCCCAAAAAAGGGCAAGCGCAAGGCTTCAGCTCCTTGGGGTGTGTTGAGACTGTGGAATCTTGAGATTCCCTGATTCCAGGAAAGTAGTGATTGTGTTCCAACTTCCACTCAGACAATTTCATCTGTTCTCAAGGTCCATCCAGGTTGTTGCTAATGGCGCTACCTCGTCCTTCCTTAGGGCTGGGTGGTATTCCATGGTGTGTGTGTAGCTCGTCTTCTTTACCCAGTGCCTTCAAGCTTCTCACATGGGAGCACTACTTTTCCTTGGTTTCCAACTGCGGGGTAGACTCCTTTTCCATCATTATAGCCTTCTGGCACTTCAACTGGAGGTTGGATGTGAGATATTGTTGTACCACGAGGTTCTAATTTTTCGTTTCAATCCGGAATTCTGTCCTGTGATGCCCGTTCTGGAATTCAGGTTGACGTTTTCTGGAAAACAGGTCATCAGCCAGGCTAGTGTTTGTGCTTCTGTCTACAGCCTGATTCTCAACACAAATGGCGTATGTACTCCAAGGGTACATGTGAGCAACAGTGGCGAGGTCCCCCCAACAGCTTCTTTTCTTGTCTCCCCAGAGAGCCCGGCGGGCTGTGCTGCCCCAGGAACAGGAAGGCTCGGGGGCTGGGCAACTGGTCACTGGTTTGATGAAGAAAGAAGGTAATGATCACGCACCTTTCCACCCTCTTCTGTCACTCTCCAGAAAGGAAGGACCCGTGGCTGACTCACCCTGGCTGTCCTCCTGGCCATAAAAACCCTTTTTTTCTTTTCCTGCTAGCGTTCAGGTTAGGCCTAGGAAAGGCAAATCAAGTCCTCTGCCCTGCGCAGGAAGTGTGAGGGGAGAGGGGAGACAAAGCATGGGCTCAGCACCATGGTAAGAAGCCAGGGCTGGCCCTGTCTCACGGTGAGGTCTCCCAGCCGTGGTTTCCTCATCTGTATCACAGCATGGCCACCTGCTGAGCTGGCCACCAGGCTGAGGGCAAGGTGGGGAAAGATGGGGAGAGACTTCCTGTAATTAACAGTATTTACCAACAACTCCCTCTGCAAACATGGAACCTGCTCCACTCCAGACCGTGTGCCGGGCACTGGGGTCATAGAGACAAAGCACCTAGGTCTTTGGGGAGCTTCTGGTCAAGTGGGGGAGGCAGTCAGGGAAGAAAGTGATGGACCCAAGAGGGGGGGTCAGCGCAGAGGCTGGAGTAGCGCGGAGGATGCAGGGGTGAGGAGATCAAGGACTTCATGGCGGGAGGGAAAAGCATGCTGTGTCCAGGTATCCAGTAGGGTTTTGCTTCATCAAGGCATGGGGGCGGGGCTTGGCGAAGAGGTCAGGCTGTCTGGTATGGGTGCTGGTGAGTGTATTATCAACTACTACTACTATCAATTACAGAGGCTTTGGGCAGAGAGGACCAACATGGGATAGTGGGTGTGTGTGTCGCTGGTAACTCCCCGTGTTCTGGAGTGAAGGAGCATTGATTTTGGACATGATTGTGAACCTCAGCTCTGTGTGAGCCTGGGCAGGTCGCTTTACCTCTCAGCCTCAATGTCATCTCTAAAATTAGCTGGCAATCCTCCCTCGTGGCGCAGAGGTGAAGGCTCACTGAGATGACGCCTGGGACGTGGTGGCCAGCCTGCACACTGGCACTCAGTTAAGCGCTGCCGTTCCGCCCCTCCCCAGATGCCTGCCAGCTGGGCTACGCCGAAGGTCCTTGCCTCGGGATGGTCAGCAGGTTTTTCTATAACGGCTCGTCTATGGCCTGTGAGCCTTTCCAATATGGCGGCTGCCTGGGCAACAGCAACAACTTCGTCTCTGAGAAGGAGTGTCTGCAGACCTGCAGGACTGTGGGTGAGTCTGGGCCCTTTGCCGCTGTGCACGCTGCAGTTCACAACGCCATCCTCCTGGTGGGCCACCAGCAGATTGAACCGGTGGCTACGAGAGGGGATCAGGGTGGGGATCCAGGGCGAGTTTCCTGAAGTCGTAGGAAGTGCCATTGGCGTATGGGTGACCGTAGGCAAGTTATTTCTTCCCATAGGCTCCAGCTTCCCCGTCTAGAAGCATGGGACTAGGGTTCTAGGTAAGCAAGGTTCCCTGGCTCAGGTCCTGGGCCTCACCTTAGCCGATAGGAAGGATGACTAACGCTGTGCCTCCCTCCCCTCCACAGCGGCCTGCAACCTCCCCATAGTCCCCGGCCCCTGCCGAGCCTTCATCCAGCTCTGGGCGTTCGATGCTGTCCAGGGGAGGTGCGTCCAGTTTCAGTACGGGGGCTGCCAAGGCAACGGCAACAAGTTCTACTCAGAGAAGGAGTGCAAGGAGTACTGCGGCGTCCCTGGCGACGGTAGGAGGCCCTGCGGGGGGCCAGGCCGGGCCAAGGGGCCCTCGGGGTCCAGGTGGGAGAGCCCTGTAGGTGGGGGCCTGGAGAGCTGAGCTCTGGACTCTGTACCAGGTGACCAGCCCATTTAGTCCCAGGGCCTCAGCTTCCCATCTTTCATGTGAGGCCAAGCCCTGGAACTCAGCCCAGCTTGGATGGGGTAACTGGGGTACCGGGTATACTAGGGTAGGCATAGGGTGTGCAGGGCAGTCTGAGGAGCCTGGCAGATCTGGGCTGATTCAGGTGCTGCCACATTCGGGCTGGTCACACTGGGCAAGTGCCAGTTTTGGCCTCAGTTTTCTCTTGTAAAAAGGCACAAATCACTTATTTCCCAGACTTCCCAGTGCCTGGCACCGGTAGTGCTCAGCTATTGGCACCTGTTACTGATAATGATGGCCATGCTATGAGGAGGACAGGGCAGGTCCACCTCGCTTTATTGCGCTTCCCACTTCACTGTGGTAGTGGCTTTGCTATGCGGGTCTGGAACCCAACCTGCAATATCTCCGAGGTATGCCTGCAATAGCACTGCGGGCACAGCAGCCATTTAAGACTACAGTGCCTTAACTCCCCGCTGGGAAACGGCACCCAACGTAAGCCAGAGGAGGTAGAAAGTCAGATCATCCTGTGCATGCACTGTGGGGACATCTAGCCACTCAGCAAGCGGGAGTTTCTGGCCTCCGGCCCAGCCTCAGGCCCCACCAGCTCGGCCCAAGCTGCCTTCCCTCCTCCATGAGGCACCCCCTCCCAACCTTCCCCTGCCCTGGACCCCAGGCGAGCCCCACACCTACTCCCTGAGCCTCTGTGTCCACAGGAGACGAGGAGCTGCTGCGCTTCACCAACTGACCGGTCCGAGGCCAGCGGTCCGAAGCCAGAGGATGGCAGGGAGACTGCAGGCCAGAGCCTGGCCCGGGGGCCCCCATCAGGCAGGCCGTGCTGAGGGACCTGGGTTCAAATAAAAGCCAAATCATGGACTCCTGAAGTTCTGTGTCCTGACTGTTCCTTGTCATCCTAGTGTCATGGGATGGGGGCTGGAGGGGGACACAAAGCTGGCGGGCAGGAGCCCAGCCCGCCCCGGAAGTGGAAATGTGTGTGGAGGAAATGAAACAGCCATCTTCCCTGCGTGAAACGGGCTATGCAAATTAGGACACACAGAGCACAGTTCCCTTGGCTTGACAACAGTACAAAAGAGGACCGTTTTGTTTTCATAAAGCTGGAGGATGGGGCGGCTCCGGGTACTTGTTTCAGGGGGAGGTTTGACGGGTCACCAGCGACCCAGGGTCAGAATAATGTGCCCTGTGTGCCCAGGAGGGTCAGTGCCTGAAAGAATTCCCACCCTTCACTCATGGAACCCCCCGTTTTCCTCTGGCCACAGCCATGTCCCCAGCGCCCGCTGCCTGCCGGGAGCTGAAAAGCCGTGGGCTGTCTCCCCACCAGGCCCTCGAGTTCCCACCTCCTGGGACCCCTTCCCCAGCCCTTTGCCCCAGGAAGAGAATGTTCACTGACCTTCACCTTCTGTCCATGACGACCAGCAGGGCCCTGGGCCAGGACCAGCAGCCCTCAGTCCGGCGGCGTCTCCTCCCTGCGTAGGCCCTCCAAGTGACTCCGGCACCAACCGGGCCCAAGAGCAGGACACTAGGAGCCTCCGGATTAGACACACTGAATACACAAACATCCGGGGTGTGAGGCTCGCTTGCTAGCTCCCTCCACTGCTGAGGGCAGCCCAGCCTCCTGTCCGGAGGCGGAAGCTGCCGGGGCGGCAGAAGCCTAGGCAGGGCCGCTTCTCCCTGGGGTGAGCCTGCTAAGGGCCGGGGCTACTTCGGTCACGGCTGCTTCTCATGCCATTAGCCCATGTGCTTAAGAGACCCATCAAGCCAAAACCTGTTTGGCTCAGTCGGCCTGCAGACTGAAGGGTCCCAGGTTCGATTCCAGTCAAGGGCATGTACCTTGGTTGCAGGCACATCCCCGGTGGGGGGTGTGCAGGAGGCAGATGATCGATGTTGCTCTCTAATCGATGTTTCTAACTCTCTCTCTCTCTCTCCCTTCCTCTCTGAAAAAATCAATAAAATATATTGAGAGAGAGAGAGAGAGAGAGAGAGACCAATTAAGAAAAAGGGAATTCCACATCTCTTGTTGAGGGGATGAACCCAGAGCAAGGCTTTAGGTGTAGAAATCTTTGCAACCCTCCTGGTCAGACCACACAGAGCCCTCCTGCCGCCGTCTCCTCCAAAGTCCAGCGCTTGGGAGAGGGCTGTCCTGAGGGACACGCCTGTGGTCACGGCCAGGGCTGGCTGGGCACAAGTGGGTGGGGTCTGGGCCGTGGTTCAGGGGGAAGCCACAAGCAAATGTCATCACACTGTGTCCGCACCTTGCTCCCCCCACACATGCTGCGCACAGCAGAGCCACACAGGCGGCTGAAGGCGCCCCTCTGAAGAGTGGCCTGAAGAACAAATGCTTAAACCAGAGGGCGCCGGCCACAGTGCACAGGCAGGCCAGCCGGTGGATGGGGTGTGTGACTCGGAAGGTGCTTTTTACAGCTCTGAAGGCGACATTTAAAACCTGAGCTTCCATATACACATCCGGGCTTCTCGAGTCTCTGGAAAAGGAAGTCCCGGCAGCTCAGGGCCTGCACCCTGCTGGCTGAAGGGGGGTTGGAAGAGAAGCTGAAGTGAGCAGCCCCTAGAGACAGGGGCCTCCTGAGGTTCACCAGCCCTGCCCAGGCCCGAGGCATCTGTCTCCGTGGCATTTCTGCAAAATGACACGTCTCCACGACTTCCCTGCAAAAAATTCCCCCGGATCCTGACTCCACCCCTCAGGGGTGCGGCGGGCTGAAGCACACCTGTGACCCCCGAGTCCAGAGTCTGTGAGGCTCATCTCCGGAGGCCCCAGAATCCTTGTTGGCAAAGTGGCCGCCCTGGGGACTCACTGGATTCTCAAGCCCCTCATTTCTGATATAAATAGACGTGGCTATTTTTAAAGTCCTCTTTTTTAAACTTGCACATGCAGAGGCTGGCCCTCCAGCTATAGGCAGGCTCTGGTCTTGTTGGCGATGCTCCAAGGTGTGGGGCGGACGGTCAGTGGCAGTAGGGCTCCTGCCTTGTTTTAGACCACACACAAACTCCCGGTTACATGTCAGCTGCTGGCCCAGGGCTGTCCACACCATCAGCAGCAGAAAACCCCCACAGGACGGTTCGGAGGGAGGGCATCAGCTGGCGCCCCCAGGAGCTGTTGCATGTGTGACTCGATGGAACGAGTTCAGCTGACCCAAGTAGCACGCTCTCTAAGAGCAGCCCGCATCTGGTTGAAGGCAGGGACGGAGAGGTGCTGGGTGTCTGGCATCCGCCTACCTTGACAGCGAGACGGCGATGTCACCTTTGCACAGGTGTTCCTGCTTGAAGAGCCATCACCCTTCCGCCCGCTCAGGCCACAGGGCATCTTCCAACGGCGTCTTGTCCCTCTGGCCTTCCGTGGGCTCCATTCATTCGGGGCATTGCCGTGCCCGTGCCTGGCCTGTGAGGCTCTGGGCGAGGCCTGCGGTGGGGCAAGTCCACACAGCAGTTCACCGTGGAGGGCGCTGGCAGACGCCATCAGGAATTTGCAAAGTCCCGGATACCCTTCCCCAGAAAACAAAACATCACACACAACACTGGGGAGGCCAAGGCCACAGGCTCACGAGAGGCACAGAAATGACCCTGGGCCAGGCGAACTTGGATCTGCCCCTCAGGACTCAGATGACAGCCATCCTTTCTCCCACAGGACCATGTCCAATAGCCAGGCCTGGAGGGACCACGCCTCCCCTTGGCCACGCCCTTCCGTCATTTATCAAACATTGGCTGAGCCGGGTCTGGTGCTGGAGGTGAGCAATGAGCTCAGATGAGTTATTGTAGCAGCGCTGACCTTGGGATGGACTCCAGCTGTGAACCCCAGGTGCCCTGCCTCTGAGCCATCTCTACTCACCAGGAGATGCCCCTCACTGGACCACACAGCCCAACCCCAAACCCAAGAAATACCACCACACACCGCCATCTTCCTAAAGGTCGTTTTATTGTAAAACCATAAATACAACACCGACATGGAATCATTTAAGCAACTGATCCTCTAACCATTAAAAGGATGTCTTTTGCCTTGGCATCGACCAACCGGGAAGTAACATTGCAAGAATTGATGGGGTCGAGGGGTTCTGAATTCTGGGCTGGGGGGGCTTTTGGCGATTTAAGGAACCAAGTGGAACCTTCCTCTTCTCCCTGGGAACGTCCCACTTTCGGACCAGAACAGACAGTTAAAAACAGCAACATTTAAACAGCTCAGCTTTGAGTTTTATTCCTTTGTAAAAACCTTGCCTTTTTCCGTTCCTTTCCTCCACGTGACGTCAGTACAAGTGTGAAACATCACGAAACTGATTTGGCTGTCAATGGAGAAACGGTTCCAGGGACCCAAACAGAGTCGAAATGGAAAAAACCCAAAGGACAAACGGAAAACCCTTAAATAAACCCACACGTTTGGTCGGGGGGGGGGGGGAGTGTGGCCCTCACACATCATACAAGAACCGTCAACGCAACCCCCATGCAATGTGACCCCGTGCAGAGCTGTGGGACCCACAGGCGTGTGAGATCCACGCCGGCACAGGAGATCGCAAACAACGCTCTTTTGTTCATTAATACAGCAAGGGGGACACTAGGTAACTTTTTTTTTTTCTTTTTCTTTTTTTTAAATACAGTACATGGTACACAGGGTCCCAAGATGGCCCTGCGTTAACCCCTCGTGGAGACTTGAGCCAAGCCACTGGCTGTTTATAAAAATATTGTGTTGCTACAAAAGTATAAATTAATGCTACCGGTATTAAGAAATATTAAACACATAAAACTTATAAGGATTAAGAAAAATATTCATTAATACCTGTAGAAAACTCTGGCCTAAAAAAGATATTTTTTTTGTGTGTTTGTGTTTTTTTTTTGTAAATTTTTTTTGTTTGTAGTTTTTCTTTTTAAGATGACTTGAGTTTCTTGCACTCGGAGAGAGAGACACAGTCAGATGTGCCTATGGTATTGCCTAGAACGTCTTCACTACTGAGAAAGGATGGGGGTGCACGCACGTGGTTATGGGGGGGTGGGGGTGGGGCCTGGGAGGGAGGGGCACCAAGGCCTTCTCAAGATTTACCTGATGTGAAAGAATCACCGACAGGAGGTTGTGGGGGAAAAGATAGAAAGGTAGGATCAGAAGAGAACGGAAGATAATTGGTACGTTTTTAAAAAATATCTCTGCTTCAGGTGGTTGTACAAAATGGTTTCCTGATGCTTGGGATCTGAACGGCCCCGGACACGTGGTTGGTGGGTCTGAGCCTCCAGTCCCGCAGGCCCCTCTGTCTCTTGGATGGTGAGTCCCTGCCCCAGGCCAGGTCACAAGCTTGCTCACTGCTTGGGAACCCACCCGCCCTGGCTGGGCGGGAGGGGGGGGAGGGTCCCCGGCAGGGACTGGCTGCTGACACCTGGGTTGTGGGAGGAGCCCCTCCTTCCAGACCCCGAGGTCGCTGCCAACCTGGACGTCAGGAAGCGTCCCCCGGATCCCGGGCCCCTGAGGTTGCCGTCAAGGCTGGGCGGTGCCCCTGTGAGGAACTTTGGTTTGAAGAGTCAAGGTGCCCAGTGGATGGGTAGGACCCTCACGGGCCCGATGCTGACGCCCAACTGCAAACCCAGCAGGTCCTCCTCAGAACAGGAGTTGAGTCTTTAAAGCGACACCGTGGTGGCGGTGGCGGTGGCGGTGGGGACATGAACAGACCAACGGGATCTTCTCCCTCATCCACGCGGGAGCAGGTGCCTTTTCGCAAGGAGAGCACAGGGCCCTTTGGGGAGAGGCAGGCCTCTGCTGACTACGATCCTCAAACCCAAAGGAGAGCCACAGAGAAACGATCAAATCCTCCAGAAAATCCTGAGCGGGGAGCCAGGAGGAGAACAGGAGAGGGAAAACACTGCATCATTGGTTCACCATAACTGGCCTAGCAAACATGAGCCACAGTGAAGAGAGGGGCGGACCCATCCCAATGCTCCCGCTGGCCCTGTGGATCCCGGGGGCTGGGCCAGGGCAGGCAGGGCCGGGACAGGAGCCATCATCTCCGGTCTCCGGGGGACAGCCGGAGCCTTCCCTAGCAAACTCCCGGTTCTGTCTAAAGCAGCAGCCTGGCTAGGAGGCCTCCTCCAGGTACATCCCAGGGGCACAGGCATTGGCCTGTCCCCAAGGCCAGGGCCAGCCATGAACTCAGTCCAGCTCAAGGGGGGCAGAAGCCCACCCACGTGCCCTGTGCACTTCCTCTTCCATCTCTGCAAGCATGTCCATCACGATGACAACATCCAGGTACTGTCCCCTCTGGGCCACTTCTCACGGCACCTCCTTCTCCATCCGCATCCCAGCTCCATTTCCAACCTTCCGTATGATCCTCTGGAGCCCGGAGAGCATGCGCTGTATCCCTGACATCCCTCCAGGGGCCCACTCACTCTCCAAGGAGCCCAGTCCAGGTCCGGGAGGAGGCAGGCGGCCTCCCGCAAGCACGGGGGACCCCCAAGGACAGAAGCCCGGCTTCGCAGTGGAACTCTGCCCTGCAGCTTCCCTCCGGTGTTTCTTGAAGGCGAAGCCCAGGAGCAGACCGAAGGCGAGAACTCCTGGCAGCCTGTGGACCTGGTGTCAACAGTCCTTCCTAGGATCCCGGATGGAGACCCACACTCCTCGATGTGCCATCCGGCCTCTCCCCCAGCCAAGAGCCGCTCTGAGGGCTGGAGGCACACGCAGCAGGTGGCTCCTCCCTGTGTTTCCTGGTTTCTAACCACCACCCGGGGGAGGCCTGGCTGGCTGACCGAGGCGCAGGGGAGGGAGGACGTTGCTGGGACAGGAGCACCTGCTCACGATGACTGGGATGGCACCGCTACTCCAAATCTGAGGACCACCCACGAGACACAGTCCTTGGCTTGGGCTTGGGTGGTGAAGCCAGCTGGCTTCAGAGGGGAAGAGCCAACTCCACAGTCTCCTCTTGGGTCCGTGTATGCCAACGCAAAGACCCATTCCATCCTGGGAACCACATGGCTTGAGAGGAGTCGTGTCCAAGTCAGCAGGCGAACACCTGGAGCTGCCCAGAATGTGACGGGAACTTCGGTCCCGGGTCTGCCAGCTGCCGAGGGCCGGGGCTGGGAGGTCCCACAGCTGTCAGAGGAGTAGGAGGCAGGAGACAAGACCCTTCCCAAGGTCAACGCCAGGGCCAGTGCCTGGAGATCAAGTGGAAGAGCCTACCCCCATCCTTTGGCTGAGCTAGAGTCTGAACAAGGTGGATATTGCTATAAACCGGGGGCCAGTGGCTGGACCTGTGAGCTCTTTGGGTTCTTCAGCGGTGGGCGGCAGTAGGATCTGCCCTGCTGTGGGGACTTGCCTGCGTGAGGAAGCAGACGGAGGGGCGCCCGGGCACCGTCTTTGCTGTTGGCGACACCAGCTTCTGGGGAACCGCGGCTGTGAGAGAGAGATGGCTACCTGCCACCTTGTCACCACAGGTGGTCGAGGCAGCCCCAGGAGACGGCTTTAAGGGACTGCCCTAAGGACTAACCTTCGGAGGAACTGGAAAACGGAGGATGGCACGTGACTCGGTGCCTAGAATTTGGTGAGACTGGAATTCATTCTGGAGGGCTGGCACCTCGTGGTCCAAAGACTCCAAATGCACATCTGGACTCGGTCTCTGATGGCTTCACAAGAACACGAAATGCCTACTTCCAAACAGGGCAACACCAGCACCCAGCTCCGCTCCACGGAGAGGAAGGATGGGCCGCAAGGCCGTTTCCACCGACCACACAAAGGGAGCAGCAGCTCTGAGCCTCCCCGGCAGCGGAGCAGAGCAGAGCGGAGCCGGAGGAACCTGGAGGTACCGCTCACTCCTCAGCACCCCCACAGACACCTCCTGGAAGGCCCCGGCGGTCCGAAGTCTGCCGAGACACCCTGGGAAGTGACATCAGGTGGCCGGCCAGCGCGCATGGGGGCTCTTCAGATGGCGTGAGCCCAGCTGGAGACGTGGTGAGGAGACACCTGGCCCTTCTCTGGGCGAGGACGTGGCAGGCGGTGGCTGAGGCCGTGGCTTGCTGGAGAGAACGTGCCCCCGGCCCCCTCGCATACATCGCGAAGTACATCAGGACGCGGAGGGGTAGGTCTCATGAGGCGAAGTGAGCAGGCGAGGCGCCCGGGGACAGTGTTTCTATACCAGCGTCACCTGCCCAGCCCCCACCCCCGGACTGGGAGCGGGCAGGGTACAGTGCTTTCTGTAGTCGAGGTATCTGGCAATTGAGTAATGCTTTCTGGGGAGGAAGGGGTGGCCCTGGCCCCTGAGACGGTAGGATGTGCCTTTCCGGAAGCCACGTGGCCGTCCTCAGCCTGAAGCCCTTGGCGTCGCCATCTCTGTGCCACAGCCACGGGCACCGGAGGACGGGAGACCACCGGCACTCTGTTCACAGAGAGGCGGGCCGGGGCGGATGGCCGATCCTGACGGAACCACCGCTATGGGGGGGAGGGGAGGGGCCCCCCTCGGCATTTGGACTGAGTGTGTAGAAACGGAACTGCTTGTGGAGAGAAAAGCCTACGGACATCGTTCACAGCATCAAGTTCAGAGCGGCCTAACGCCATGCCACCCTCCATACACCAACCGTTTGGCCCACAAGGCACCGTGCTCAACTACTGTCCTGGAGGGAGGGCTGAGGCTCGAGTGCGGGGACCCCAGGGCGGTGGGCAATGGGCCCACCGGAACCCCTGGGGCCCTGGGGAGGGGTGGGGGTGGGTCTGAGGTGTGTCGGACGTGGACAGACGTGGATCAGCTCAGGCGTCCCTGCTGAGCTGAGAGTGTCAGTGACGTGGCGAGTAGTGTAATGCACTCTGGGTATACAAGTCGGACATTCGCGGTACCGGGGCGCGGCGAGCCGGGAGGGCGGGCCTTCCCTTACATTCAGGAGCAGTCCTCAACCACAGGCGTCCCCATGGCTTCCACCGAGCCCCACCCCGGGGACCTGCGACTCCAGCCCCCTCCCGGTCTCCACGCAGCACAGACAAGCGTGGTCTCGGCTGTTCCAACGCACAGACATGGGACAGTACAGCGAAGGCCGGTGAAAACCTTAGGAGAGCGCATATACCACTGAGATGAGCTAGTTTACAGTGTGACTTGAGGAACAAAAAAGGCAACTAAAACAAACAAACAAACAAAAAAACCTTCAAAACATAAGTTATAGACATTCAGTGCCTCCTAGCAGAGCCTAAATCAAACTTGGGAATAAAAAAACAGAAAGGTAAAAACGGCTAAAATGTGAGGAAGAGAATTAAGGAGTGGACATAGTGTCTATACTTCTCTGAAATACGTCTCTTTTTTTTTTTCTTCTTCTTTCTTTCTTTCTTTCTTATATTAAAAAGCCAAAACGTCAGCTTTCTATGCTTAAAGTCTCCTTTCCTGATTTGGGGAGAGAGATAGGTGTGTTTCTAAGGCGGCTGCCCCGTGTCACCCCGGAGGCAGCCGCTCAATGCCCTGAAGGTGAACAAGAACGAAGTCCAGTGCAGAAACTGTCCATCTGATGCCGTGTGGAGAATCCAGCGCAGGGCAGCCTGGGGAGGGTGCATGAGGGTGAGGAGGGCTGGGGGGAGGGGCACGCAGGGAGAAGAGGGACCGTGGGCTGAGGACAGAGAGCGTCAAGTCACTTCAGATCTCAGCTGCCCGAACACTTTTGCAACGTCAGCGTCCTACCCACCTGCACACCTGAAAGCGGAGTCTTCAAAGCCCCTCGCCGAGGAAACGAGGTGAGCGCGTCCTCCCTTTCCACACGCTCGGCTTTCCCCCACACGCCCGGTTTCATGCACACGCGCCCACGAGCAGGCGTGGGCATGCACCAGGGTGGTATGTGTGTGCACGTGTGTGCACGTGTGCGCGCGAAGCTACAGTGGCCACGCCGAGGAGCCAAGGGGCCTCGCACCCACACACACACACGTGTGTGTGTGTGTGTGTGTGTGTGTGTGTGTGTACACACACACTGAAAAAAAGCACTTAAGTTCCCGGGGGCGGGGGGCAGGGGGGGGGCGCGTTGATAATGAGGTCCACAGTGTTTAGAACATAAATTCCTTTCCTTTGTTGGCGACAGTGTTGCGTATCCATTTTCCCTACCGTGTTCTCTTTCGCGCTCCTCTCGGTCCGGACGCGGAAGCCTTAGAGCATGTTGGACTTCAGGAACATGAGTTTGTTCATATCCTCCGGGCTGAGCAGCCGCCGCCTCTTGATGAGGAGCGCCTGCTCGCACATATTCACGCACCCGCTCCGGGCCCCCACGGCCGGGACGGCGAGGAGCCAGAAGGCCAGCCGGGCCAGTTTCGTGTGCTTCTGGGTGACGCACGACCAGTACTGGAAGAGGTCGGGGGTGGCCTGGAAGAGGGGCTCCTGCAGGTAGTCGTACACCTCGCTCTTGCCCAGCCGGTCGCCGTCCGGAGCGGCGGGGTTCTCGCCGCCGCCGGCGGCAGCGGCGGCAGCGGCGGCGGCTGCGGAGCGCGGCTTCTTGGCGGCGGGCTCGAAGTCGGCCTCCTCCGCCCAGGACTCCTTGACCTCGTTGATGAGCTCGCACACCTTGCCGATGATCTCCTCGTGCTGGTAGGGCGGGACGGGCCGCAGCTTCTGCTGCGGGTCCAGGATCATGGCCACCTTGTGCGCCGGGTGCACCTTGAAGTTCTCCTTGAGGGCCTCCAGGAAGAGGTGGCACAGCTTGCTGACGGTGCCCGCGTCGTTGGCCTTGGCCGTGAACAGCTTCTCCAGCCGCACGTAGGTGGGCAGCACCAGCTGCAGGGTGGGCTGGCTCTCGTTGCTCAGCTCGATGACGGCCTGCTTCACGGGCGTCAGGATGGCCGCCAGGTTGCTGAGCAGGTGCTTGTTGAGGCTCTGGATGAGGTTCATCTTCTTGGCCCGGCTGTAGAACTCGCAGATCTGCTCGTAGCGCTCGTGCACCAGCAGCAGCGAGTCCGTGACCGAGTTCCAGCAGGGCGGCGGCGAGGTCTCCTCCAGCGACCCGAAGGTCTCCTTGGCCAGGCCCGTGGAGCCCGCCAGGTCCTCGCACACGTTGAGCAGCTCGATGACCTCGTGCATGCTGCGCGCCTGCAGCGTCCGCTTGCTCAGCACGCTCTGCACCACCGAGTTCAAGGCGCAGGCCGAGCAGCGGAGGCACATGCCGGCCTTGGAGAAGGCGGAGGCGCTCACCCGGCAGTCCGTCACGTACACCGTCCTGATCTCCGACATCACGAACTCCGACAGCACGTTCTGCACCCAGTGGTGCACCAGGTCGCCGCTGTCGCGGATGTCCGCCCCCTTCACGCCCAGCACGTAGCTCTTGATGTGGTTGCCCTCGGCCTGGTAGGCGGTGAGGATGTAGCAGGAGTCGGGCCCCACGCTCTGCGAGTGGCAGGTGACGCCGATGCCCAGGCAGGCGTTGCTGCCCAGGGCGCACGTCACCTTCACCTTCACCTGGTTGTACATGCGCGGCAGGTGCTTCAGCGCCAGCGTGTTGAAGTTGCCCAGGATCTCGGTGACGGAGAAGGCCCCGTAGCGGGCGCCGCTGTCCACCAGCGTCTGGGCCAGCTTCAGGAACTCCTTCCCGCTCACCACGCTCAGCGCTCCCAGGTCAGCGCACATGACCCGCAGCAGCCGCTCGGCGATGTTCTGCCGCTCCTTCTCGGGGATGAGGCTGTTGGACGGCAGACCACTGGCCGCGGCTGGCGGGGACACAAGGAGAGACCTGGTTAACCCTGGCACTCGAGGCTCCTTGATCCAGCTGCAGACTAATGCTCCCAGCATCTAGTACGAGGAGAGATGAACAGACTTCATCTTGCACACAAATTATAGGAGCTTCATGAGAATGACATTCTGTGACTGACGGATTAGTAATGCCTGCCACGAGCGTGGGACTAGAACGTAGTGGTATGGGGGCAGCATACTTGCTGCATGGGCCGGTCACCCAGACTTCTGAAGCCAACTAGTCTAACCTCTCCCTCGGGATAGCCATGGTTGCTAACAAAGGCACTGCCCGTGAATAAAATGCAGGAAGCCAGCACGTGAGGAAAGAGAAGCCAACAGGAATTGTGAGAGTGGATTCCAGTTCCGATCCCGTCACTAATTGGGACTCTCTGATCACAAACAGGTCACCTCCTCTCCCCGGGCCTCCCTTGGCCGATGCTATGAGGTCTTAAGGGTGAAAGTGCTTTGGAAACGTAGGCACGGCCTCCCGTCACCCTGGGAGGCGCAGGGGGCGGGGATGCGGGCAGAAGGGAGCAAGCAGAGTGGGGGCTGGAGGTGCGTGGGGCAGGCCTCCAGGAGTCCCCCTGGCTCCGGCCTGGAAGAGACCTACTGTTGTTGGCACTGTTCCTCTGGGCAGGGGGCTTCCACTTCTCCTCCACAACAGCAGGGGGCGACCGGGACTGGTTCGAGGTGATGTTGTTCTCATTGTCCGCTGTGGGCACCAAGGGGACAGAGTGTTACCCTAACGCAGTGGTCGGCAAACTCATTATTAGTCAACAGAGCCAATATCAACAGGACAACGATTGAAATTTCTTCTGAGAGCCACATTTTTTAAACTTAAACTTCTAACGCCACTTCTTCAAAATAGACTGGCCCAGGCTGTGGTATTTTGTGGAAGAGCCACGCTCAAGGGGCCAAAGAGCCGCATATGGCTCGAGAGCCGTAGTTTGCTGACCGTTGCCCTAAAGCAGGGGTCCTCAAACTTTTTAAAGTGGGGGCCAGATCACGGTCCCTCAGAGAGCTGGAGGGCCGGACTATATGAACTACTAATTCCTACTGTAACACCTCGGCTGCGCTCACTGCCCAAAAAACCTGGCGGGCCGGATCAGACTCCTCTGCGGGCCGCATGTGGCCCGAGCGCCGTAGTTTGAAGACGCCTGCAGCATCAGAGGCTTGTGGGCTAACAGACGAGAATGAGAGTGTGGCAGGTGAGGGCAAGCATGCCTCCTGGGACTGCGGCCTGGAGCCGAATCCCGGCTCCTCCTTACACAGCTAGCATGTGATTTCGAAGCCTCATTCTCACCGTTTGGAAAAATGAAGATAATCACACAGATGTGACACAACTGCTGAGAGGACTGACAAGAGGTAACGCAGGGGAAGGGCATAGCACCGTGCCCATCGTGGAGTAAGTGCTGAGCAAATGGGGATCACAGCACCGGGTCTGGCTGGGAGCCCCCTCCCGCGCGCGCCCCCCGCCCCCCCTCCCCACACATCCCCAGAATTCTAGCTCTGAAATAGGGGAGAGGTTCCAGTTACACACAAGTGACCTACTCTCATGTCTTCAGTGTGGTGGTGTTTTTTTTGTGTGTGTGTTTTTTGTTTTTGTTTTTTGAGTTTTCAGTATATTAATTAGAAATTTAGTTTATGAGGCTGGCATTATCCAGATCCAAAACTAGACAAAGACATTACAAGAAACGACAACCAATATCCCTCATAAACATATACACAAAAAGTCCTTAACAAAATATTAGCAAGTTAGATACAGAAATGTATAGAAAGAACAGTATAGCCAAAACCGGTTTGGCTCAGTGGTAGAGCGTCGATCTGCGGATTGAAGGGTCCCAGGTTCGATTCCGGTCAAGGGCATGTACATTGGTTGTGGGCACATCCCCGGTAGGGGGTGTGCAAGAGGCAGCTGGTCAATGTTTCTCTCTCATCGACGTTTCTAGCTCTCTACCTATCTCCCTTCCTCTCTGTAAAAAAATCAATAAAAATATATATATATTAAAAACACACACAAAAAACAGCATATCACGAATAAGGAGTTTATCCCAGAAATCTAAGTTGATGTTAATAATTGAAACCCAATCAGTGTAATGCCCTAAGTGGGGGAAAAAATAGAAAAATCATCCCCACAGGTATAAAGGCGCATTAAAATGTGACAAAACTCAACAGCCACCCACAACACAAACTCTGAGCAAACTAGGAAGAGAAGGAAACATCTACTTGGTAAAGGGCATCAGAGAAAACCTGGTGGAAATAAAAGGGATTATAAAGAAATACTACATACAGTAGTAGTCCAGCAAATTAGATAACCTGAATGAAAGACACGTATTCTTAGAAAGACATAAACTACCAAAAATGACCCAAAAAACAGAAAATCAGAATCGTGGTTTCCAGGGCTGGGGTGCAGGGAGGGCCTGGCTGCATGGAGGCGGGGGGGTGAGGGGGATTCTGGGTTGAAGGTTAACCCATCAGACTGTCCTCTTAAAATCGCAATGAATCCGAGTTTAAAATGACCGAAGAGAAACCCATTAAAAAGAGTAACTGGTTAACTTTGAGATGGCGGCCTGTTCTTCATTTCCCAATTCCTCTGCATTTTCTCAATTTCTTTTAATGAATAGATCTTATATTTAAAAAAGGGGAAGTGCAGATTTTAAAATGGAAACCAGCAGCCTTTCTGGTGGACTTTCTTCAGTAGAGCACATGGATTTGAAAGCCCTGGGTTTGAACCCAGCTCTGCCAGGGCTGGGGGTCATTTCTGGGCCTCAGTTTCCCCTCTTCCCCCCAAAACGCTGGGGCTGGACAAGCTGGAGGGTCATTCCCTCATTCTGACCGTCTGCAGGACTTGGGATCAAAGTTACCCAGCCTAGCATTAGATAACACTGTCTAGTATTGGCTGAATTAAAAAAATAAAGGTCCTTTCCATGTCTCAGATGCTGCTGTTGCGTGGGTGAGGTACTGTAAATGCTCTGTAAAAAGGCTTGATTTGTAGCTTGAGCTGGACTTCGCATTTACTCTGTGTGGCTATCCCTATGTACACAGGTGTATACACACACACACACACACACACACACACACACACTCACACACACTCACGTCTGGTCTACAAAGAGCTGGATGCGAAGCTGGAATGAAGGCTGTCTCCCAGGGAGGGGCCAAAGCAGGAAGGAGGAAGAACATGAGGCTAACATGGTGACTGCATAGGGACTTTTCAGTATATTTATTAGTAAATTACTGAGCCAATCTGTGCCTCCATCTCCTTACCTGTAAAGTGGAGCTGATACAGACACTTAACTCAGAGGGATGTTCTGGGGTTAAGGGAGGTCATATGTGTGAAACTCTTAGAACAAGTCCTGGCACCAAGGAAGAGCTCAAGTCATGTTAGCAGCTGTTGGGACCAGTGATTCTGTTCTCTGAGCCTCGGTTTCCTCATCTGTACGATGGGGTAATGTCAGCTAGCTAACAGGCTCGTCCTGATCCAACGAAATAACCACCCTGACACACACTAATGAGCTCACTGCATGTTAGCTGCCTTTAGTGTTATTCCTGCCCAAACTGGCTCCTGCCAGGGTCCCCTCGGGCACAGAAGGGAAGTTTATTAGCGGGAATTACCCTGTGCCATTCGGCAGCCTCTTAATGAGATCGGTGTTATCCGAGGCTGATCCCCCTTATCAGCAATGCCGTGAACCGCGCAGATCATGACGTTTAATTTCTCTCTATGGAGTCAATCCTTTAATCCCGGCGCAGCCCGGCTGAGATGCCGCCCGGCTTTGCACTGGATTGCCTCCCGCATTCTCTGCCCGCACTGGACCAGAACAAAGCAGCCCAAAGCTCTCCACGGAAGAGAGTGGAGGGGCCTGGAGGAGGTGGGGGAGGTGCAGCCTTGATTTGCATTTTAATGGCCTCTGCCCAACTGCCTGAGGGAGGGCCTAGCAGATTCTTCCCCACTGGGCCTCAGCTTCCAGAGGCTGGCAGAGCAGGGGAGGGGAGGGCTGGGGCTTCAGAGGAGGGCGGGCGTGGGTTGTGGGAGTTTCAGGCAGGGCTCCCAGAGCAGCCTTCCAACTGCTGTCTCTATTCCCATATGGTCAAGTCTAAGTGCCCCGAGCTGGCATTCAAGGTCCTTCCCTGGGCCCATCTCTGGCCTCTGCTCTCCCTGACCTCAAGCCACACTCAACGCCCACCTTCACATCTCTCCCTGGTCAGTTCCTATTGGGCCTTTAGGCTCCCTTCCAGAAGCCTTCTTCAGCCCCGTGCCCACGCTCCGTGCTCTCCCGAGCCTGCTGTCCCCCCAAGCCCTCCCCGTGTGATAACGGATGGACCGGGGGTCTTCCAGGCAGGCCCCATGTCCTGTGGCCGCTTACCCGCGTGGGACTGCATGTGCTCCAGCAGGTTGTTGTAGAACTGGAACTGGATCCCACAGGCGCCGCACGTGTAGGGTTCTGCGGGGAGAAATGAAGCAGCGATTGAGGGGCAGAAGGACCTTGCTGCTGGGCTGTGGGCGGATTCGAAACTGGGAACCCCAACACACATGGGGGCGGGGGGCTCTGGGCCAGCCTGATCTGCCCCTGGCACTAACGAGTGAGGGGGAGGCTGGGGGCAGGAAGGACCGGTGGGGAGAGGAAGACGTGCGGCCTCAGAGGGCTCGGATGGGTCAGGCAGCCATTTACTGAGTGCTTACTGTGTGCCAGGCACCGTTCTGGGCATGGGGATGGGCAGGAGGAGGCACCAGGGGCTCATGGGCAGAGGCCGGGTCTTACTGGCTCCACAGCCCATCTGCCTGCCTGTAGGCATCCCTGTTTGAATGAGTTGAGGTATGAATGAACCCCCAAACAAGGCAACGGACACAGAGGAAAGGGAGAGGAAGAAGAAACGGAACAGGGTAAGAAGTGGAGAAAGCCACAGAAAAGCAAGAAGTGGGATAAGACGCGGGAAGGGCAGCGAAGAGGTGGAGGGTGGGACAGAAGGGGGAATGACAGCACATGGGAACGGAACAAGGGGGCCTTTATCTCTCCTCTCTGTTCCCAATACTCCAGCCAATGCCCAGGAGGCGAGGGAGGAAGAAGGGACACGAAGGAGAAAGAGGAGGAGGATGGCTGACATGGGGCAGGAACGGGGAGGTCTGTGTTCCCGCACGACTGGGGGCCATAGGCGGCTGCCACTGTCGGGGCCTGCCTCGTCCCCCATCCCAACTCCTCCACCCACCTGGGCTGGGCACCCCTCCTGCCCTGCTCGCTGCCCTGCCTGCCTGGGAGGGAGGCCCAAGGTCAGATGCTCTGGGGAGGCCCCAAGAGCCGTGGCCACTCTGTTCGTTCCCTAACCTGCCTCGCCCTCGCCAGCCCCCCCCGTGGGACCCCCACTTACTCTGTAGGAGAGGGAAAGTATTGGAAATCAGGGGACTTGCCGTTTCTGCAAAAGAGAAACAGTTTAGCCAGGTCTCCTCCAGGCCTGGTGCTCCCGGATGACTGTCATTATCTCCATCGTTAACAAGTGGTGAGCCAGATGGGGCCCTCAGGCGAGGGGAGCACAGAGCCAGGCTCAGACTCCGGGCTGGGGCTGGGACACTGGGCAGGGCCATAGCACTCTTCTCTCCACAGGCGAGCGCCCCCAGAGCAAAATGAGCCATGTCCGCCCTCGGCCTTAGGACAGGAGGCTGCTTCTGGGTCCTGGCCCTGAGCGGGAGGGCTGTGCCTGCTGGAACCTGTCTCCCCCTCCCCCCGCCCCGCTGCCTGGTGCTGCCAGGTGAGCCGCAGAAGCAGGAGGTGGCAGAGCAGTGCGGGTGGATTAGACTGGGGTCCTGGCTCCACCACGTACAAGCTGGGGACTTGGCGCAACCACCCCCTTCTCCTGAGCCTCCGTTTTCTCATCCCGAAACGAAAGGTAACTCTCCTCCTGGGGCTGGGGCACACACGAAGACAGGAAAGACACACACACAGCTCTGGACACATGCCAGGCACATGGTAAGCGCTCAGTAAACGGCCTCTGCCCGTCACACAGCCAGTCCCGGTGCTGAGCATGGGCTCTGGTGGAAGGAGAGGCAGGGGTGCAGCCTGGCTGGCTCAGAGCAGAGACTCCCGGCAGGTCAGGGCTCCGGTCCTGATGCTTAGCCCCTTGTGGCCTCGGGCAGAACCCCACCACGGTTAAGCCCACCTCTTGGAGATGCTGCCGGATTACGTTTTCCAGAAGGGGTGGAGCAGCTTGGAAAAGCTGGCACGTCCTCTCCGTTGAGGGGTCCCGTCAGCATCCTCAGGCCACCCCAGCACACCTCACGCCCGTGCTCAGGGCCCTCGTGGAATAACCCCGTTTACTTAGAGAGACTGCACGAGTGGGTACGTAATCTCTGCAGGACGCTTGCTGAGTGCCCACCACACAGGGGCGCCTGTGCTGTTCCCACTTTACAGCCGCCAGCTCCCAGGGGGCGGCGCTGAGGTTCGAACCTTGGCCGGAGACAGCGCTGGAGCTCAGACTCCTATGCAGAAGCCTCCACATTCAAATCTGTGTTCCCAACTGTTTTGTAAAGGCCTGGATGGACGGCCAGGCTCTGTCCAGCATCTGTCTACACTAGGGGTGTCGAACTCAATCAGAGAAGGGGCCAAAATCTAAAATCCAGCCTAAATCGCGGGCCGAATGGTTTACTGAACAGTCATAAACTGTCATTGTGATGGAAACGCAGCGGAGTGCAGTGATGACAGCGCGGTGCAGGCCACATTGCAAGGCCTGGCGGGACGGATTTGGCCCGCGGGCCTTGTGTTTGACACATGTGCTCTACACACACAAGCAGTGCCCAGGTACGCTGGGCACAAGTGGAAACCGAGTAGGATGAATGGAACTTCAACTGTGCGAGAGAGGGAGTGCCAGTGTCAGAACTCTTTCCCCTTCCTGCCCTGGCCGTCACTGTGCAGACCGCCTGGCTATGCCTTTCTCAGACAGAGGCCGCTGGTGACTACCCTCCCCCTCTTCCCCTGTCCCACAGCCCCGCCAGGCTGACTCAGGTCTATCTGGGGAGAGGGGCCTTGGGCATCTCTGTTCTAAGGCCCTCTCTGTTCTGCCAGGGTCTTGGCAGAGGCAGCCACCAGGGGGCGCCAAAACACTACCAGGAACCTTGGGCAAACCTGGGGCTGGCAGGGGCTGGAAGGGAACCTTTGGGTGGGTTCCTGGTCCAAAGCGAAGCCAGAACTCTGGGCCTCTGTGGCTTACCAGGCCACGGCTCTCTCTGCCGTAACCCCGTTGCCTCTTCTGGAAAGAAAAGGGCTACGATGTTTTCCCTAAAAATGTATTAATGGCTCTTTTAGGCCCAACTCTCTGGGGCCATGTGAGTAGATGCTGCAGGCTATGGGGAGGGAGGAGAAAGCAAGGGCCACAGCTCCCCGAGATGCCCCCAGGCCCAGAAGGAGGCCCCTGGGTTTCTGCCCAGCCCTGGCCCCCTAATTCTCAGCCCCCTCCCCACACCACCAGCATGCATCATGGAGACCCCAGCCCACAGCGGGGAGCAGGGAGCCGGCGACCTCAGCACAGGGCCCCTGCCACAGGGCACACTCACCGCTGGAGTTCTGGGAACTGCTGTTCGTCTCTTCAAAGTGGTTTTGTGCTTTGCTCTCTACTCTCCGGCTGAAAGCGCTTTCTGCTGGTGAGGACGGGAGAGAGCGAGAGAAAACGCCGGTGACTGATCAGCACGAGGTCCAAAGGGGGGGTCTGCCAGAGGCGGCTCAGAGGCTGGGGTACCTGGGCTGAGGAGGGCCCAGGGCTTTATGTTGGGGAGATCAGCACCATGAGGAGCTCCAGGATCCCAAACCAGAACCGCCAGCTCCTCAAGCTCACCTGAGCTGCCTGATGCCTTGTCAGGGCCCCAGGAGACGCTCCGGACAGTGCCCGGAGGGGGCGGGGGTCAGGCCTAGGGGCGAGTGTGGGTGACCTGTCCAGGGGCTCGCAGATGAAACCCAGCCGAGGGAGCAGATGGCAAATGGGCCTGGGGCTCCCATCTTGGCCCCTGGGGAGCCACATGTGTGAGTGACACTGAGTCATGGGGACCTGCCCCCACTAGTCCCTGCGCCAGATCCCCCCGTTTCAGGCCCCACACGGAGCAGAGAGGAGGGCAGGCAGAGCGGGCGGGCCAGACAGCTCCACATGCCCAGTGGTCCCTGCCTGAGAGAAGGTGTGCCAGGCAGAGCGGGGGCAGCCCACACCCCAGGAGGCCCAAGGCCAGGTGAGGTCAGGTCAGAGTTCACTCGGGGGAAGGACCAGCTCCTGACGATGTCTTGGGTGTCTCCGCTGACGGGCGGCACTTTTATAGCGGCTCACCTTCTCCCAGGCACTGCCTGCGACCCCAGAGGCAGAGAGAGCATCCAAGGCGGGAGATACCAATGCCCTGCCCACCTCTCCCCCACCTGCAGGAGGTACTGAAATGGGGCATCCAGGCTGGGAGGGGACTCGGCTTTTCCAAGCAGCTCAGGGCCCAGTGGGTGCTGGAGGCTCCAGGAGACAAAGATTCCCGGGAACAAGTCACTGGATGGAACAGCCGAGCCAGCCCCTTTCTCAAGGAGAAGCCACTCGCACCGGGGTGTCCGAGAAGGTCACCAAGAAAGAAGAGGCCCATCTGCCTTTAATCCAGCCTTTCCAAATGGATTTGGCCACTGAAGCCTATTTTTTTTTCTTAAAAAAATATTTTTTATTGATTTCAGAGAGGCAGGGAGAGGGAGAGAGATATAAACATCCATGACGAGAGAGAATCATTGGTCAGTTGCCTCCTGCATGTCCCCCTCTGGGGATCGAGACAGCAACCCGGGCATGTGTCCTTGATCGGAATCGAACCCGGGACCCGTCCGTCCACAGGCCAACGCTCTATCCACTGAGCCAAACCAGCTAGGGCGCCTATTTTTTAATGATCAGATAGATGCCTTACTGTTCCTCAAAAAATGGCGGTCTCAGGAACCCACTTTGGGAAATGCCACCGTCCCCCAGTCCACCCCGCCAAAGGGGCTCTTGCTCAGGCGGTGGGGGCCGGGGGGTTCTGGACGATCATTGGGGGGCGACAGGAAAGGAAGCCAGAGACGGCTCCTGCAGGTCCAGCTCAATGCCCCACTCCCTGACCCAACAACGTCTCCTTCCCGCAGAGGCTGTCCACCACATCACAAGAGTTATCCTATAGAATGCCTGCGCTCAGAGCCACCTGCCTGCCTCCTTCAAGGAGTCACCTTTAATGGGCAGAGAAAGGCCCTCAGTTCCCTGCCTAGGGAAAGCAGGGAGGACTCTCGTTTATTGAGCATCTACTATGTGCCAGGCACTGATTTAGATGCCTTACATCCAGGGTCTCTCTTCGTTCTCCCAGTAGCTCTATGAGGTCCACGCCGTCACTTCCGTTTTACAGGTCACACACACACACACACACACACACACACACACACACAGGAAAGTGAGTTCCGGGGGCCGAACGCGCTGCTAATCCTCTAAGACGGCAGAATGAGTCTTCATCCTCGCACAGGCAGACGCTTCCTTTTCCACAAGCGACTCCTTTCTGCGCCTTCATCCTCGCGCAGGCAGGGGGACGGCGAGCCCTCTGCGGAGGGCTTCCACGCAGCCCCACCAACCCACTGGCAGAACTTAGAACAACTGAGGTCAACGCTTGTTTCCCAGTGCTCAGCTCATAATGCAAATTTTGATCCGCTCTCCCTGCCCCGGGCACCTTGGGCCATAAACCAGTGGGCATACGGTGGGTGGGGCCCCAGGCACAGGCCCGCACCTTCCGCACCGGCAGGAAGAGCTGCCGGTCCCAACGCGGTGAAGGCGGCGACCACTTCCAGCTCTGCCGTGCAGGTTCCTGCCCGCAGCCTGGTGTCCTCCGCTCTGCCCACCTGCTCTGCCAACCCCCCTTCACCCCCAAGTCTTCTCAGTCACAGAGAGGCAGCTAGAAGCAAGTCCCCCCGCTGCCACAGACCAAACAGCCCCTTCCAGGCAGCTCCCTGCAGGAACGACAGACGTAGAAACTCCCACCATAGGTCAAGAATAAAAAGCAAACACTTGAAACTCGAAATCCCATGATCTAGCTGAGCCCACATCTACCACCAAAGAGCCGGAGAGGACCAGGCTGTTCCTAGAAAAATACAACGGCTATCGGCTCTTCTCAACACAGGACCTCAAAGCCCACGATGCTCAAGGCTAAGGGCTCACTCTCCTCCTGGGACACCTGCACGTCATCGGCCTGTCTTCAAACATTTCTCAGGAACACAGCCTTGCCCCACAGTAGCCCACGGACAAAGGAGAATAGCCAACACAGCTAGTCACCCACCAGCCCAGCCTCCCGGGTCCCTGCCCTCAGCCTGACCACTTGTGTAATTAATGGGCGGCCGGGGGCCTCTTCAAAGCCACCGAAAGGCCCATGATCCCAGAGGGACCATGTCATCGCTCTGCCCTACAGCACTCTCCCTCCTTCCACCGGGGATGAACCGGGGTTCCTGAAAACTGGCGCCAGCACACCATGCATCTCCTCCGTTTTCCCGGGAGAAATACTGCTGTTCACCCTTCCGGGGGTCCGAGCCCCTCTGCATGGACCGAGAAAACACTGGCGCTGGCATCCATGGGCTTCCTGCTGGGCCAGGGCCCCCAGAGCCAAGTCACGAGTAGAGGGAGGCCAAGAGCAGGTCGGCCACTCCGCTTCAAGAAATGAGTTCTTAGACCAGGCGTTCTGAAAGACGGGGCATGCAAGCTCAGGCCGAGGGGTTTCCAGGCAGGCAGCACAGATGGATGGACGGGGCTGGATGTCAGACAGACAAATGGCGTGACCACAATGAGCAATGAATGGCACCGGCCACACGGCGATGGTGTTGGGCGGGCAGGAGGGAGGGGTGGGGACTGTGGAAAAAGGGAGGGCGCATGCTCTGTGGAAGGAGGCGGCTGTGGCTCAGCCCAAGCCGACTGTTGCTCTGCAGGAGAGCGGGCTGGGACTTGTCAACGTCAGCTGGAAGTCAGGTTTCCCCTAAAACCGCCTCACGTTCAAATGTTGGCACTGAATTTAAAACAGTCTTTAAAAACACCGTTAGGCCATGTCTTAGGGGGCGAAATAGCCTCTTGTTTAAGAGGGGAAAATTTTGCAAACTCTCTTGTACAACCCTCTGATTCAGGATAAGACGACGTAGGCTCAGAGAGGTTGGTTAGGTGGCCCACCAAGGTCTCAGGGCCAGTCAGAGGCAGAGCTAGGACCCCGATGCGTCCCCCAGAACGAGGGGACCCCCACTCTTGCTCTTGCAAGGGAACAACGGCCTGGGACACAGCGGTGGCAGGTGGGGGGAGGGGGGGATGGAGGACACAGGCTGTCGGTACCTGAGGTTGCCTTGTTGGCTGGCGATCCTGAATTTGGAGTGCGGAACGGCTGGGTTTGGGTGGCTGGAGGAGTGCGGTGTAAGAGGGTGGAGCATCGGACCACGGAGGCCGAGGCCTTTTTCCCCGACTGGTTCGTCTGGGTCTTCGCGGCCACGAAGCGTGGAGACGGGGAGACCTCTGGATGCGAGCACTCAGAGCCTGTGTCTGGATCATCCGGCGGCTCCCACCCGGGGGCGGTACCTGAGAGGGGCACGCTCTCAGTCCCCCAGAGCCCTCGGAGCTGGCCGAGGGCGGGGCCTCTCGAGCCACAGCCCCCACCTCCGCCCCCCATGCTTCAGGGTAGACACCTCTTCTCAGTCCACAGAAAGCAAAGCCTGAGAAAAACCTGGGAGTCTAGAACCTTCCCCAGCTTCTCCTGGAGGCAAGCCTATCTCCCACGTTCCCCTCCATTGGCCCCCAAGGGTGTATAGGCAGACAGGGAGGCAGCGGCTCAGAGAGGGACAGGCACCACACCAGGGTCACAGAGCAGTTGGGGATCGAGCCGAGATGGGTTTCCCAGGCTCCTAACTCACTTCATCCCATAGTTTACCCCATCTGCTGACCCCCTCACGTGCAATGCTGTCAAGCTGGAATTCCTGCCCGGGCTTTCGCAGAGGAAGGAAGAGTTTTAGACAGACTGGCTGATTGCTCTTCTAAGAAACATGGGCGATATTTACACATAGAAGAGATTTTATTTTTATTAAGGTATTAAATGTGTACATAATCTCACTCATTTATGGATAATAAAAAAACCTTATAAACTGATGAACAAAAAGATAGATACAGAGACAGTAAAGCAACAAACAGATTGTCAAATTACTGCAGGGAAGGTAGGGAGATCTGGGGGAGATAAGAAGTCAGCCGAAGGACTTGTATGCATGCATATAAGCAAAACCAGTGGACGCAAAACTCTGGGGAGGGAGGGCTTGTCTGGGAGTGGGGGGGGGGGTAGAATTGGTAAGATAGAAGAGATATTTAAAACTAAGAGAACATAGTGATCTCTCCTTCCTGTGAAGTTGGAAGTTGAACTGGAGCAAGATACTCAGAGAATGTATGGATTTGGAAAAAGTGCCACTAAGGAGGAGAAGAGACCCGGGCAGGGGGGTGTGGGCCGGGGACTCCCGGAAGGAGAGGGGAGGGGAAATGAATTTGCAGCAAATGGGCATCGTGGGATCCAAGGCTGGGGGTGGGAATGAGTGGGAGCCGGACCCACAGGTCTCATCCGGGAACCCCTCCTTGTGGATGTCAGTCTGAGGAAGAGAACCGGAGACCTGACACTCTGGCCACGACGGAGCTGCTGGTATGGGACCAGCCCTCCTCCGGATTCAAGGCAAAGCTGGACAGAGCACGTGAAACAACGGTTTTCAGACCTTGGACAGAAGGAGGCGCAGGGCTCCTGTGAATCATGGAAGAAGACCCCCCTGAGCCCCGTGACCACTCCCGCTTCCGGCCTGGGGAGACCTTCTGGACCCTAACACCGAGGAGACGGCCCAAGCAAGCACCCCATGCACCCTGACCTGAGGAGTCGGCAGCCAGAGTTCAGGGCTTCCAAGATGGCTGGGGTTTGAAGGGCGGAATGACAAAGAAGGAAGAAAGAAGGACCCCCTGCAAAGCCTGGCAGCCAACAGCGACCTTGGCTGTGAGTGAGTGAGTGAGGGGTCAGGGTGGGCAAGGTTACAGGATGTTTGAATTCCCATTTGCCAGAGAGGAGACCTTGCTGAATACCTTGGGCATTCAGCTGAGCCCCAGAAGAGCCAGGCCTCAGAGGGATTACACTAACCCTTATCCAGGAGCGATACATTCCAAGACCTCCAACGAATGCCTGAAACCGCAGAGAGTACTGAATCCTAGAGGTACTGTGTTTTTTTTGTTGTTGTTGTTGTTGTTGTTTTTGCTAGGCATACATATTTGTGACACATTTTAATTTTTAAATTAGGCATACTAAGAGACTAACAACAAGGACTGGTAAGAAAACAGAACGGTTATAACAACAGACTGTAATAGAGGTTATGGACATGGCGTTGGGGCCTTTATTAAAATCAGGCTTGTTTGGAGCACAAGCCCTGTGCCCTGTGACGGCCGATCTGATAGCTGAGACAGCTCCCCGGGGGTAGGGAGTCACACAGCCTGGATAAGGCAGACAAAGGGATCTCTCCTGTTCCAAGAGGGACGGAGCAGGAGGGCGTGAGATTTCAGCCTGTTACTCAGAACAGGGTGCAGCTTAAAATGTACACATTGTTCATTTCTGGAATTTTCCATTTAACATGTTTACACCACAGTTGACTCAAACCACGGAAAGGGGAACCGCGGGTAAGAAGAGGCTACGGTGCTCCAGACCCACTCCAACACAGCTTGCAATCGAGCCTCGGAAGCGTCAAGCTAATCTGTATTAACGGCCTACCAGAACAGAATTAGACAATTTTCAGACGAAGATAGCAAAATCCAGGCACGCAACAACAGGGCATCCACAGCAGGCAGCACAGAATTAAAAAAGGATGCCACCAGGTGGAGCAGGAAAACGCGAATAATACTCAACAGGAAAATAAATAAATAAAACAGTCAACAGAAACATACAAAAATGACAGCAACCACAGAATCTGCAGACAAGGTCCTTAAAGCAGCTATTATAAATATGCTCCCAAGATTTAAAGGATAACATGAACATCAGAAAGAAATTATGTCAAACAGAACCAAGCGGAAATTGCAGAGATAAAAAAAAATATATGATAGCTGAAATGGAAAATTCACTTAATGGGTATTTCCAATGAAAAAAAAAAAAGTAAGACACCATAGAAGAAAAGGTCAGCAAACTTGAGAACAGGGCACTTAATACAATCCAAATAGAAACACAGAGGGAAAACAAGGCTGAAACACTGACCACAGCTTCAACTGATCTGTAAACATCATTAAAAAAATGTAACATACATGTAAATAAAGTCTCAATAGGAGACAAAAGAGAAATTGGGGAAGAAAAAGTATTTATGGAAATACTGACTGAAAATTTTCCTTGATGAAAATAAAAAACCCACTGATCCAAAAAGCCCTATAAACCCCAAAGAAGATAAAGCCAAAGGATACTATATATCCATAATCAAATTAGTAAAGCCAGTATTATAGAGAAATATTTAAAATAATCCACAGGAAAAAAAGATACATTAAGTATAGAGTAACAACTAGAATGACCTTTGACTTCTCATAAGACATAACATAAGAAGATAAAATAATGACTTTTTTAAGTGCTAAAGAAAATTTCTCAACCCAGAATTTCATATCTAGAGAAGCTGTCCTTCAAAGGGTGAAATAAAAATATCTTCAGTTAAGAAAATCTTTCACCAACAAACCTACAATGTAAGAAATGTTCAAGGAAGTTCTTCAGGGACTAAAGGAAAAAGATAATAGAGGAAATTCAGATTTATGTAAAGAAAAAGTACAGAAAATCATAAACATGTAATAAATATAAAAGGCACTTTCTCTCATTTCTTAATTACTTTAACAAAGGGTTGACTATTCAAAGCAAAAAATAATTGTTATAACATATATAACAAATGATATATATGTTAACACTTATATAAGAATAGCACACAGGACAGGAGGGTAGTAAGTGAAAGTATACCTTGATAAGGTTCTCACATAACATAAGAGATATAAAGTCATGGTAGACTATAATACATTAACATTATATATCATAAACCACAAAGTAACCACTAAAGGAAAAGTAGTACAGGTGGAAAGCTAACACAAGAAAAATTTTAAAATTCTTAATTAATATCAAATGAGGCAAGACAAAAAAATGAATAGTAAGAAGAAATGAAACAAATAGAAATACAACAAGTTAAAAACTTAAATCTAACCATACCAAAATAATATATTAAATATAAATGGGTTAAACACTTCCTTTAAAAGGCAGGGATTGTCAGGCTGGATAAAGCAGTGAGAACCAACTACTAGTATATGTATGCACTTAAAGTATAAAAACACACATAAGTAAAAAGCAAAGGATGAAAAGAGATATACCATGCAAACACTAATCCTAAGAAAGCTGTAGTGGCTATATTAATATCAGATAAAGTAGATTTCAGCCAATGGGTATTACCAGATATAAAGAAGGGCATTGAACCATTTTAAAAGGGACAATTCATCCTGAAATAAGGATCCCAAGTGTGTGCACCCAAAAACAAGTTTCAAAATGTATGTATCAAAACCTGACAGAACTAAAGGGAGAAACTACATAACTAGAATGAAAGTTGTAGATTTTAACTCTCCTCTCTACGTATTTGGTAGAACAAGCATAAGTTTTTTAAAAGCCTGGAAAGGTGTAGAGATCTAAACAATATTATCAATCACTGTAACCTAACTGACACGCCATGCAGGAAATACTCTTTCCAACTCATCCTGTGAGGCCAGTATCACTCTGATGCCCAAATTAGACCAGAACATTATGTGAAAAGATAAGTACACTGCTGGTTGTAGTGTAAAATGGTATAACCGCTTTGAATAACAATTTGGCTGTTTTCTTAAAAGTTAAACATACACCTACTGTATGATCCAGCCATTCCACTCCCAGATATTTACCCAAGAGAAATGAGGGCATTTGTCCATACAAAGACGTGTACAAAAATGTTCACAGCAGCTTTATTTATATTATTATAGCTCTAAACTGGAACAACCCATGTGTCCACCCATAAGTGAATAAAAAAAATTTGTGGTATCTATACAGTAGATCCTCGAATAATGTTAATTTTGTTCAATGCCATTTCATTATAACATTGGTGATATGCTACAGGAACTTAACTCTTTTGTCAATTTAGCCCTACAGAACTCATTGACGACTTAAAGAAATGAAGTACGGATACATGCAAACACGAAGAATCTTAAAACAATTATGGTGAGTGAAAGAAGCCAGACACTCCTATACAGACAATAAAAGAGTGAGATTCCATATATGCAATATTCTAGAAAATGCAAAGTAATCTATAGTGATAGGAAGCAGATCAGTGCTTGCCTGTGAATGGATGGGGAAGTGGTGATGAAGGAATTCTAAAAGGGCACAAGCAAACTTTTGGGAGTGACAGATACGTTCCTAATCGCTTTCCAAGGTTCAAAGCCAAGCTCCACCTCTTGTTAACCCCATGAGTGTAGTCACCTTATTCCGGAAATTTTCGAGAACAGAAGCAGCAGGGAAGGTGCCTCCAAAGGCTGAAACCGTGGTTGCAGGCTGGCCTTGCAACTAACGTCTAAGTGCATTCTGGGTAGCATCCTCTCCAGGAACCAGGGAGCAGGACAGATGTCCACCAATGGCTGCCAGTCCGGCCCATGGAAAGAGGGATCCTCAGAGGGCCCAGGCCAAGGAGTTCAAGCCCAGCCACAGTGCTAATGACTCAGCACCAGCACCACTAGTCAAATGGATGGGTCGTGCCCACCAAGGGGACACTGTATCCCCCCTCCAACATGGACCAGAACATGTGGTGGGAAATGGACGGCCCATACATCCCTAGCCTCACTGGCAGGACGGGTTCCTCTAGTTGGGCCACCTGGTCTACCTGTCCGAGGGTTCGGAGATGCCTAGAATTCAGACTTCTGGGCTGGAAAGGCCTCAAGAGCTCCCGCAGAGGGGAAACCTGAGCCCAGAGAAGGGACGTGACAGGCACAGGTCAGAGGCTGAGTAGGCCAAGAATCTCGCCCATGGGAGACCCCTCCCACCTCTGCTGCTCTGCCCAGAGGGAGGACTTCCTGGGGAAGCTGCCTACACCGTCCGCTAACCTTCCCGCCCACCTGAATGCCTTGGGGGCGGGGGGGGGGGGCGGAGGGGGCACGTGCCTGTGCTGCAACTTTCAAGTCTTTAGAAGGGTCATGGGCCTCCCAGACCTTAGGCAGCTTAAACCCCTGCTGACCTTGCATAACCTCTCTCTGTCTCTGGACCTATGACCCCGCCATTTAGAGATTGTGAAGTGGGATCCGCACAGCTCTGTCCTAAGAAACAAAATCGGGGGTACATCCTGCCCTGGGAAGTTGGTTAAGCCCCGCCTCCACCTGGATTTTGGTTGAGGACTGAAGACCTCCAGCTCATATGCTAGGGGTGGAAGGTGAGGGAGCCCGCTCCAACCTCCAGAAGTGGCACTGGGGAATCGGCAGCCTCAGGAGAACGGAAGGCTGCCAGGACCCTGTGGGAAGAGCCCTGAGAACCTGTTCCCTTCTCAACCGAACAACTGGAGGCCAGACACAGGACGGGGCCTGCCCCAGGTCACATGCAAGCCTATGAATCCACGGGGTCAACACCCAGGGCTCTGAGTCCTGGCTTAGCATTCCAGTCGAACCCTTCCCACCAACAAGGACAAAGAGGAGCTGTCCTGTACAGTGGCCATGTCTGGGTTAGACTCTGCGTGGGTTCAGACTGGGGCTGCACCACATGGTGCTGGCTTTGGGGCTGGGGATTCAGGAACATGAATTGGAGGTGCTCAGAGGAGGTGGGACAGAGCCACTGAAGGACTCGGACGAATGGTGCCCACCCTCTGAATCCGCTATTGGAAGACTCAGGCTTTCCCAGCTATTCAAGGTGGCCCCAGATCACACCTGGACACCTAGAGACTGGCCCAGACCAAGTTCACCTTTAGTTTCCCTCCCCTACTAACACCCCGAAGCCTGGCACTACGGCTTGGCCCACCCCTCCCCCAACAACAAAAGGTACTCACTGATGGGGGCGTGTAAGGCCACGTGCTCCTGGTAGGGTGTGTAGTACTTGTACTGCTTCCCGCAGAATTCACAGGTGTAGTTGCCGGTTTCTGTCCAAGGAGGAGATAGAAGTGTGGGAACAGGCGCCTGGTTCCCATCCAGAAGCAGCAGCGTGCTCTCCCCACCCCCCCAAACTCCTTCTCCTCGTTCGGGGACAACAGACTAGAATTGGGAGCCTGCTGGAGTTGACTACTATCTAAATCCAAATCCCAGCTCTGCCAACTGGAGCTGTGTGACCTTGGGCAAATCTCTTAACCTCTCTGTGCCTCAGTTTTCCTATCTGTAAAACAGGGGTAATGATAGGACCACCTTATAGGATTGCTGTGAGGATTAAATTTCTATGTCAAGTGCTTAGAACAGTACCTGGCACACGCTGTCCTCCCTCATCGCTCCACCCTCAGGCCCCGGTGCTCTGGAAATGTGTGGTGACCCGAGCGGCCCTCCAGTGCCCGTCTCTCTACCAGCCCCTTTGCCATGGCCACATTGGGGTCCCCTCATCTCCAGGACCTTTCCCTGCCCCCAAGCACCCCACGCCCCCCCCCAGCAGAAGAGATCACTTCTTCCTCTCAGGTCCCAGCAGACTTTCATTTTTACCTCTCTTTTGGGTCTGCCTAACTTCTTTCTTCTTAAAAATTTCTGATGTAATATTGTTCACTGGGGGAAAATTATAAAATATTGATAAATACAAAATTAAAAAAAAAATAAGAGAAATTTCAATCATCTGTAATCCCCAACACAAAGAGTAGCAGCGGCCCCTTGGGGAGAACCTGCACCTTGCACCTTGCCCCAGACCCCGCCCCTCACTCCCCTTTCACTGACATCATCCGACTGGCTGCTTGCAGGCCTTGAATGGGCCGCCCGATCTATATCCTCTTTGTAACCCAGTGCATTCGATCAGCAATACTTTGTGGCCATCTTGCTTAATCAATAAACTTCGATCTCTCCTGCACTTATTGGCTGCGTGCTTCCCACTGGACTTTAGAATTTGCTGTGCTGGTCTCCTCCATCAGGGGACATTCAGAATGCCTCCCCAAATTTCCCCTTATATACATCTATATAAGCAAGTAATGCTACGATCCACATCCTTGTAGAGTTTTTTTTTTTTGCACACGTACTCATTATTTTGCACATCACTGCAAAATAAAAGATTAGTGTGCATAATCTCTGTACATTATTTCCATGGGATAAAGGAAGGATATGCATTTTTTAAGGCTTTTGATAACCAAAGCACCATCAGGAAGATAACTATTTCTATACGTGGTAACAAGCATTAGATATTATTATCTTAAGTTGTGACTTGATGGGGGAAACCATAATGCACTGCTGATTTTCTTTTCCACCTCTTTGAGTTGCAAGGAAATTTACTATTTTTCATATTTGATTGCAGTTTTTCTTTCATGACTTCTCTGTGTTTACCGCCAATGTTTCCACAGGTTTACTTACCTTTTTCAAATCACTAAGACTCCGTAGATTAGAATACCAACATTTTGTTCTTTATATTAGTTACAAGTATTTTTGCTCAAATTGGCTTCTGACTCTGTTTGTGGGATTTCTGTCTCACTAGAGAAACTTTGAAATTTGCTTGTAGTTAAATGATTTTTGTAACTGAGTCATGAACATTAGAAAAGATCTATTTGCTATTTGCAAGATTCAAAGTTGTTAGGTCACCTGGATCCCTATGTAATCTCATTTGTCTACCTGCTCTGCCAAAGACTCACTGTAAGAAATCCTCCCATTTCATGGTATTTCTACATTTATTTTGTGTATCCTATCTAATAAAAGGGTAATATGCAAATTAACTGTCACAAAGCTGGATGCTAATGCCCAGTCCCCTCAGCCCTGCCAGAGTCCCCCAGTCCTGGGGAGGGGGCAGCCGCTGAGAGTGGGCAGTGTGAGCAGCCTGGTGGAATGCTTGCTTCCTCGCCACTGTGATGAAGCAAGCATTCCACCCTGGCAGGAAGGCCTCTGGGCAGCATGCACACATGAAGCATCCTGCCCCAGCCGTGGAGAGCCTCTGGGCTGCAGAGAGCCTCTGGGTAGTGGGCGTGGAGCAGACAGGCCTTGAAGAGAGCAGAGAACCACAGGGAGTAGGCCTAAGCCTTCAGGGCTCCCAGATTAGAGAGGGTGCAGGTTGGGCTGAAGGACACCCTCCCCCAATGCATGAATTTTGTGCACCGAGCCTCTAGTTTAAAATAATGTTGATAATAATGTTAATAATAAGGATCAGGGATCCAAACCTTCATTGCAAATGGTGCCCTTTGTTAAGATTGCCCTGTTTTGTAGTGCAGTCCTTCTCAAAGTGAGGTCCCTGGGCCAGCAGCAGCAGCACCACCTGGGAATCTATTGTAAATTCTCAGGACTTAACCAAGACAGACTGAAAGAAGAATTCTAGGGATGGGATCCAGCAACCCATGTTTTCATAGACCCCTTAGAAAATTCTAATTCTCGGGAATGTTTAAGAACCACATTTTATTAGTTTGCCTGGCATGAATGTTATTAATTCTTGGTAATTACTTCATCAGATTCTCTTTTCTACATGTTTGCATGTGTCTAGAGATATCTGTGCTTTCATTCATTAAAGAGATACTGCACCAAATGCTGGCACAAAAATGTTGAGCAAAAAATTATGGCTCCTGCCTTCAAGGAGCTTACAGTCTGGAAAAGGAGACAGAAAAATAAAATGATCATGCACATTTATAACTGCAACCATGGTGGTGGGTGCTCTTAAAGGAGATATTCACAGTGCTATGAAAATTCTAATGGGAAAACCAATTTAGTTAAGGAAGCAGCAGAGTTTCATGAGAAAGAGAAAAGATAAAGAATTAACTAGGCATGTCTCTAATAAGGCATTAATGATTAATAATTGGATTATTTTAAATTAACCTGAGAACCTTTGTCTTTTAATAAAGGAGATCACGCCTTTTGCTTTGATGGCTATATCTGACTTGGTTTCACTTGTTTTATGATTATCTTTTTTTCCTTTGCTTCACCCTTCTGGTTTGTTCAACTTGAACCAACAAAATTTCAGTTGTTTGATGCATGGAATCTTTTCTTTGCGTTTCCATTATCCTCCGATATTCAATTATTTCCCAACATTCTCCATTGTTTTAGACAGTGTATAATTATTTCTCTAAATGTCATAATCAAGCAGGAAATGATATTTTCATATCTATTGCCATTGAGAAGGGAGTTTAACTCAGTGCTCCTCAAACTTGAACATAGGTAAGAATCATCTAGAGAGATTGTTACAACAGAGATTGCCGGGACCCACCCAGAGGTTCTGATTCCACAGGCCTGGCATGGGACCTACAGATTTCAGCTTCTGCTGCTCGGGGGACCACACTAGGAGCAGGACTGGTTTAACCGACCTTTACTGTCTCCCTCACTATTCCTGCCTTCTTGTGTTTTTAAACTAATTTTTTTAATATTTTAGGATAATCCTTGTCTTTTGCATTAATTTTTACAATCAGAATTGCAACATTATATATATGTGTGTGTATATATATATACATATACATATATGTTATATATATATATACACACATATATGTGTGTGTGTATATATAATGTATTTTTAAAATTTATTTCAGAGAGGAAGGAGAGAGAAATAAAAATATCAATGATGAGAGAATCATTGATTGGTTGCCTCCTGCACACCCCATACTGGGAATAGAGCCCGAAACCCGGGCATGTGCCCTGCCTGGGAATTGAACCATAACCTCCTAGTTCATAGGCTGACACTCAACCACTGAACCATGAAACCAGGTGCAACATTTTAATCTTACTTCTAGTTTATCTGGCTTTATTGCTTATTATTTTGTTATATTGCAATACTGCGAATTATTTCCTCATACTGAAGCCCGTAAGTGTGTTCTACTCCATAGAGAATAACTTCAAGTAATTTCCTGAATATGGATGGGGACATAGAAGATATAATATGTTTTTGAGATCTGGCTTTTTCCTTTACACATACATCACAGCTTGTCTAGATATAAAATCCTTAAATTATAACTTCTTCCCTTCAAAACGATTTCATTATCTTTGGCATTTAGTATTGCAGAAAAGACTGAGACACGTCCATTTTGGATCCATTTGTATATAGCTTGCTTTTTAAAAATATTTAGATGGCTGTACAATTTTTCTTTTTATATGTGTAGTTTTGACAATTCACTAAGATATATTTAGTTAGGGATCTCCTTATACTGACTCTACCTGATATAAGACAAGCCCTTAAAACCTACATACACAGGCCTTCCTTCAGTTGAGCAAATTTTTCTTCTATTATATCTTTACAGTAATGCTTCTGTCCCACTGGTACAATATCATCAATGATCTGGAACTAGTTCCCCATTCTCCATATTTACTTTCCCTCTTATTATCTCATCTGTTCAAATCTGTCCTTCACATCATTAATTTCATTTCCATGCCATGGACTGACTCTAATCTTTACTACCTGCAGTGGAAGTTTGTTTTTTTTGTTTTTGTTTTTTTAAATATATTTTATTGATTTTGTACAGAGAGGAAGGGAGAGATAGAGAGTTAGAAACATCGATGAGAGAGAGAGTCATCGATCAGCTGCCTCCTGCACACCCCCTACTGGGGATATGCCCGCAACCAAGGTACAGTACATGCCCTTGACCGGAATTGAACCTGGGACTCTTCAGTCCCCAAGCCGACGCTTGAACCAAACCGGTCCCAGCTGCAGTGGAAGTTTTAGTTCTGTTCTTATATTTTCAGCTACTTTGCAATCCTTCCTCTCCTCACACTTCTCTCTGCCCTTTCATCTTATCCTGCTGCTTTCTCACTATACAACTCCGGACTCCTTTTTCACCGGGTTCATGCTATGAACTGTATTGTGTCTTCTACAAATTCAGATGTTCACACGCTACCTCCCAATGTGATGGTATTTGGCCAAAAGTAATCTCAACAGAACCCAACCACGCTGGCACTCTGATCTTGGTCTACCAGCCTGCAGAACTGTGAGGAAACAAATTTCTGTTGTTTAAGCTAAGCACTGTTAAAGCAGCCCAAGTAGCCCAAGACAGGGCACATTCTCTTATAATCAACTGTGGCTGCCAGACAGAATTTTCATCTAGATTTTGCAGTAGATCATTTTTGGAGGTATGCTCTTCCCCTTAGTCTCCTAAATGATCTTTTTCTTGCGATGTGGAATTTTATAGCTCCCCATGGTTTTGTTTATTTGTTTGTTTATTTTCCAAGTCAGTCTTCCTTATCCACATATAAAAATCAAGTAACCTAAAGACAAATCCAGACTTACTACTCTGTTTCCGCTGGCACAGATGAACTACTCTGAATCTTCTCATTAGCATGGTAGACCATTACCATGGTAAAAATTCTCAGATCTGGAGCTGGAGAGCAAGCTGGCACACAGGACCCCTTAAACCAGCTCCCTCACCATGCAGGACGCCTCTGCTCTGCCATGGCTTTGGCTTCCTCCTCAAGTACCTAACTCTCTAATTTGCTCAGCTGATGTGGATGGGGAAGGCATACTTCCCAGCATGCACCGCTGCCAGGTTTCCTCCTCTCCCAACCTACAACCGCTATCTGTGACAACTAGACCCTTCACAGCGCGCCATGCTGCTACTGGCTCCTCTTATTCTACGCCTCATCAGCCTTAGGGTTCTGTGGCATCGGCCTGCTTTTAAGAAATGTCAGGAGCCCAAGCAGCAGCAGTCTTAATTCACCAGGCAGCCTCACTTCCTTAGTGCCAAGCTGGGAGCATCGGGGTGGGGGGTGGGGAAGTGGGGAGAGGAATCGGGGGAGGGACCGACACGACAAACTCAGTTCAATTTTCTCAATGCAACTCGGTACTGCCTCTGCATCATCTGTGACAATTCCTCCCAGGTCCTAGCACGGGCTGCTGTAAGGCTTACTCGTCGAAGCATAGAACAAGGTTCATCTCGTTCTGCACCTTCCGGGTAATAGGGACCCCTTATTTAATGCTTCCGTGTAAGTGTCAAGGACTAATCCCTTTAGAAGTATAATCTGAGTTAATCTCCATGACAATCCTGAGAGGGGAGTTCCATTGTCATCGCTGCATTTTAAGAATCAAGGAAGTGGTGGATTAGAGAGATTACAGTATTTGCAGGATGTCCCAGGGTGATTAGGGGTAGAGCTGGGATTCCTACTTGGGATGGCTCTTAAGCTCTCACTCTCAACGACCCCTTGCCAGCACTGCTCACGTGTGACGCCCTGAATATGAGCCAGGTGCTGGCCCATGCATCCTGCAGAACAGATCGCCGTGAACGGCGGAGTCAAAGGAGGCTCAGAGCGGGTAAGCAGCTAGTAAACTGGTGATGCCAGCATTCAAATGGGGGCCTGTTGGATTCCAAAGCCCATTTTCATAATTATAACGCAGACATGGAAGGGTAGTGCTGTATTTAGACCCCCCTGTCCTGTATCTGTTCTAGCACAGGTCTGCGTCACATCTGGATCTCCCACAATCTACCTTCTGGCAGTGTTTGTGTTGTGGTTTTCATCATTCTATCTTCAAAATTACTTAAATGTCACTGTTTACTGAACATTTACTATGCATACGACAAGCACAGTGCTAACCATTTTACAGATATTATCACATCTGCAGTTTCCTGAGAGTTTAAGAGCAAAAATCAGGGAATTATCCCCTGTGAGGAAGGAGGGAGAAAAGGCATCCAGGGGCCCAGCAATGCTGCCTAAGGGCCTGGGACCAAGCGGCTTCACCGTGGAAGTTCCCTCGATTCCCTTCCCTCCGATTTCCACTTCCATTCGCTCTATGTCTGTGTGTACATTTTCGCAGGCTGCCTTCGTCCTTAGCGCGATGAGGCAGAGCCCAGGAAGGCCTTCCTTGCTGGGAGTAGGACAGGCACAGGAAGTAAATGGACATTTTTGAGGGGCTGGACCAGTCTCACTTGTGAGACCCTCCCCACCACCACCAGTCCATTCTCCACGCAGCCAAAACGGTCCTCCCAAAATGCAGGTTGAACGACGTCCCTTCCCCATGTAGTGCACTTTCCCGGCTCCGCTCACGCCCCTCAGGATTAGGCCTTTCGGTCTAAAGAACTTCGTTGGGTATGCGAGCCTCTCCAAGACCTGAATTCAGGATCGACTGGCCTTTCTATTCTCAGAAAAGTGCTGCTCTCCTGCCTTCGAGGGCGGTGCGGGGGCTCATCCCCACCCTGGTCCCCACTCAGAAGCCTCATGGATCCCCAAGGCTGGCCAGGCACCCCTGGCACCCTCAGCCGCCCGTGCTGTAGTATGCTGGGACCATTCCTTACTGACCTGCGGGCTCCCCCCGTATTCCCCATCCGTCTTGCTCACTGCTGCGCCCCACAACACTCACTACAGGGGTGCTCACGTGCATGGCTCCTGCCTCGGGGGTTTCTAAAACAAGGACAGACTGTCTGCCTATGGCTCCCCTGGACAGTTCCCCTGGCTGATAAACCCCCTTCCGGTGACAGTAACAAGTTGTTTTCCGAGCACCTATTATGTACCAGGCACTGTGCTAATGAGCAGGTGATTGATAGCCACGATCTCATTTAATCCCCCAACAAACCTGCGGGGAAATGTCACCCTCATGCCACAGGTGAGGAGCCGAGGCTCAGGACGGCTAACAGACTGCCAGCGCACCAACCAGGTGCCGCCTTCACTGCTCTGACCTGGACCCTGCGCTGCCCTGCTTCCCAAAAGCTACATCTCAACACCGACTGGCCCGTTTGGCAGGCGGGCAAAGTGAGGTGCAAGGCCAGTGGCTCGCTAGCCAGGCGTCACTGCCGGGCGAGCAATGCTACCTTCTCCCAGCAGCGGAACTCACCTTGCCATCCTCAGCCAGCCCCCGCCCGTCTCCCCACCCTGCCCCCACCCCCGCCCCAAGGAGAGGCCCGCATACTTGGCCCAATTTTCTGGAATGGTTCCGGGGGTTCCTCCTTCACCTCTTCAGCGGCCACGACGCCTTGGTCGAAGGGGTCTGCGGGAGAACACACACGGCCCTCAGTGCCCTGGTCACCAGGTCTCGGGAGCCGAGCTGGGGACCAGGGAGGGGGCCGGCCACCAAGTACGTACCTGCCCGGTTCTCGGGGGCTCCTTCCACACTGAACACTGCGCCAGGGCAGGAGGCAGCAGCCGCAGGAGGGAAAAGCAAACAGGAGCCCCGTTAGTCCCCACCCACAGCTGCCTCTGCCCACCGCTCCCAGCCCGTCCAGGTGTCCTGGGGGCGCGACCCTGGCCAGTGTGCAGGCCCAGAAAACCAGCGGCCACGGGAGGGTGCGTCCCAACAGGACACAGCCTGTGTCTCCACGCCTCTCCCTCCCATGCAGGGCCTAGCTCCCATTGGAGGGCCAGGGCAGGAGGAAGAGAGAGACCGGGAGGAGAGGGAGAAGGAGGCGGGAAGAAGGATGAGCCAGGAGGTTGGAAGCAGGGCTGTCACAGCTGGAGGTGGGCTGGGGGTGTGCGGCTCTGGAGGGAGCCCCAAGATCCTCCCAGGCCCAAGACCCTATTTCTAGGATTCTCCCGTTTCCAAAAACAAATTACCTAAATTTATTGATCTAATTCCTAACGCTATAATCTAAGACACCAAAACACCATCCTTCATTTTTAAAAATTGGTTTAATTTCACCAGAGCATGTGAATACTCAATATGAAATTCGTGTAATAAATTGATATAAAATTGTGGGTATGCGACTGCTTTTGATCTTACAAAGCTGGCAATTTCGTTTGGGTTCCCCTGCTCAGAAGTGTGTATGGAGTGTGATGGGGACCTTTTCTCTCCAGGATCCTCAGGGGCTGGGCACGCCCCTCATGGTCTGGCTGCTGCAAGACCTTCCTCTGGATAGGTGGAAGAGGGGGGGTGGGGGTTGGAGGAAGGGAAGGGGCCAGAGACAAGGCCCTGAGTTGGGGTCTCTCTATGGGACTCCCTCCCCAGGAGGAGGGGCCTGGCTCACCATCCACCGCGTGCAGGTCTCGGTGCTCCTGGAAGCAGCTGTAGTACTTGTACTTCTTGCCGCAGATGTCGCACGTGTACCTGAAATTGTCTGGGGGGGATGGAAAGACAACACGTGGTCACAAGGGCTTCAGTCACGTGGGATGGGGTTTGGGGGGGCCAGCTCATGGCCTCAGGAACCAAAGAAAGGACAAGCTCAGACTGGCCCCAACTGGTGACTCCACAGAGAACCAGTTCTGGGGTGTCAGGGATCCCCTACACAGGGAGGCCGGGAAGCCCTGAGGTGACTTTCAGATCAACCCCCAATCCCACCTCCTGTGAGCTGAGCTCCTAACTGGCCCCACCTCCCTCCGTATCCACTAGTCCTTGCATCTGAGGGTTACTACGTCCTCACAGGGAAACTGAGGCTCAGAGGGAGCCGCCCCAAGCCCCACAGCTAAGCAGGCCGGTGGTAGGCAGCTTCAAAGATGGCTCCCAATGACCCTGGCCTCCTGGTGTTCATGTCCTGGGTGTTTCCTTCCCCTGGAGCCTGGCAGGACTCAGCGACTTGCGTCTAATGAAGAGAACTTGGTGAAGTGACGGAGCCACTCTGAGATCAGCCAGAGGACACGACCCGTCTGGCGCACACCAGCTCGCTCTCGTTAGCGGATGTGCTGTGAGCTGCCCCATAGACCAGGGGCGGCCTCGGGGGAGCAGCTGGTGAGCTACTGAGGCCCTCAGTCCAAGAGCCTGGGGAGGACCAGTCCTGCTAGCAGCCACAGTATGAGTGTGCAAGGGACCTGGACGTGGAGTTCACCTTTTGTTTTCTCCGTTGAGAGATGGGTAAGTGGGTAGATGCCTCTAGGTGTGACTGTACAGTTTTTCTAACCAACAAATGAAAGATGCTCGGACTAAAGGCGTGGAACCTGGTCTCTACGCCCACCTCCACCCCCATCCAGCGGTATGGCTTCTCTCTGGGACGCAGGAGCCCGCTCTGCAGGATGGAAAGCTGGAATGCTATTCTGCCGGGCTCCGTGGCCGGGCTCCCGTGACGAGGCTGGCGTAGGAGGAAGCCAGACTCTCTGAGGAGACACTGCTGGCCTGGGTCAGGGTAGGGGTGCAGCACTGGAAATAAAATAAAGCACACTGGCCATGGGGAGGAAGGAAAAAGTGAGGGAAGGACTGAAAACAGCTCCGGCTACAGAGTCCTTAACAACCTGCGGCAAAAGCGGAAGCCAGACGGAACACAACACATCACTGAGGGGCTGCGGGGAGGCCAGGGGCCTGGAATAGCAGAGGGAGGACAGATAAACGGGGAAGATCTTTAAATGGGTGACTGACCACGCAGACCATGGGAGATGGAGGGGAAGGGAGCAACTGAGGGAGAAGGAGTGGGGGGAGGGGGGGAAGGGCAGGCTGGGGTGAGGCGGGGCTGGAGAGGAAGGCCAGGCCTTCGCCTCCTCCCAGCCCTGGCCCTCTGGCAGGTGCTGGCCAACCTGAGCCTCCATTCTCCCTCCAGTAACAGGAAGAGTAGCCTCAGGCCTGCCTGCGTATCACGGGTAAGAATGAGAGAGAGAGAGAGAGGAGGGGGAGAATGGGGAAGTGCCTCAGGGGGCATGTTCTTGGGACCCAGGGCTTTAGCCCCAGGCACCTGTTTTGGACTTTTCTTGGTCTTGGGGGTGTGTCTACATTGTAAGAAGCGTTTGCTGGTGGTGTAACTGATACGTAGATAGAACGGAGTTCCTATCTGAGCTGCATATGGGGATGTGCAGTTGTGACAGAGGCGTCTGGTGGCCTGCAAAGTCTAACATGTTTACTCCATGGTGCCCTACAAAGAGTGGGGTACAAATCCTAGCTGCGCAGCTTGTCCAGTTTCTACAAACCCAAAACACCTGTGTGACCAGCACCCAGCCCAAATGTCACCCCCAGGAGCCCATCCTAACGGTGACCAGGACGCTGACTCTTCCAGCATGAACTCGCACCCCCAGTTTTTGCACTTCCTGTGGGCAGACCTAAGGAGGGACTCTTGTCCTGGCTTCCTTTGCGAATACTGTCTGCGGGTGAGGCACGCTGCTGTGTGTAAGTCTGTATCTCCTCTTCGCAATGCTGTGCTTCTCAATCCTTCGTGGGAACACCGGGACTCGTTTATCCCTTCAGCCCACTGGGCACTCACTCCGGAGGTCTCCAGTTTGGAGCTGCGAAGAGCACCCCAGTTCCCACCTCAGGGTGGACATGCGCACGCAGTTCTGCTGGGGATCTACCTGGGGGAAGCCGCTGGGCTCCGAGGCTCAGGGCTGTTGGGTAGGGTGGGTTGCATCCCAGCCCACAGCCTCTGGCTGCTGTCACCTGGCCCGTGGGTTTAGAGGTGGAGGGAGGGCAAGCAGGGCCTGTGAGCAGCAAAGCAGAACCCTGTCCCCAGAGGTCACGGCCCTGCACAGTCCGGGCTTGGGACCCCCGCACCCCAGTGACCGGTGGGTGCCCACGGGTGTTTGGGAGATAACTCTCTGAAGTGGGAGCTCCCAAACATCGGCCATGGAGCCCCAGACCCAGGAGTGGGAGCCACAGAACAGAGGCAACTGCGCCCGCTGGGCCCTCCTGGGAAGTCACAGCAAGAACATGTTCCTCTTCGCCAGGCTCAAGGTTTCCCCGAGCTGTGTGGCCAGAGAACCCTTTCCTGACGGAACCCCGATTATGTCTGGGAACACACTTTGGGAAAGGCTATCCTGAGGTACATCCAACTTCCTAAGGACCCACTGGCCCCAAAGCCCGGACCATAAAAAATGTGTTTCCCGGAAGCCACGTGGGACCTCCTGGGGATGGGGGTTTGGGGGGGGTTTGGGGTCTCTTGCCCCCGGCCCAGAAGCCTACAAGGAGGGAAGATACTCACTGCCTTGGGAGGCTCCCTCCCCTGAGGTGGCTTCAGTGTCTGTAAGAGAAAAGGCAGAGGGGGAGGAGGAGGGGGGAGGGGATGAATGAGAAGGAGGTGAGTACACTACAACCCGCCCAGGGGTACCCTCTCCAATGCAGAATCCAAGGAACTGAGCCTCTCGGTTCTTCCCCGCCCATCAGTCAAGGCCCTGACCCAGCCTCCTCTCCCTGTCTGCCAGGCTCAGGGAGTGTCAGGCGCCAGCCCCCGTCCCCTCAGCTTCAGTGTCCTCATCCTCAGAATGGAGAGGGCCACCCTGCCCCCACTCCAGGGCCGTAGTGGGGAGCACTGAAGCCTTCTGGGAGAAATCAGGTCTGTGAGGAGCAGGCAGGAGGCACTGGTGGCAGAAGTCTGGTGGCATGTCCTGCTGCCCCCCCCCCCCACCCCAAGTACAGGAAGCTCCCCTTCTCCCCCTGGGGTCTCCCTCCTACTGCAGAAAGAACGAGAAGCCTGGGGCTCACAGGGCCTCTGTAGTCACCAGGCAGAGGACAGGGAGTCCCCCGACTCTGCCTAGGGACACACCACTCACCTCGGTGTGCGCGTACATGGGTCTGGAAACAGTTGTAATACTTGTACTTCTTGCCACAGATTCCACACTCGTAGGACCCTGGAAAACAGGCAAGAAAGGGACCGCTCAGCCAGCACCCAGGCAGGCAGCCAGGAGGCCCAGGGCCTGCGGGGATGCCTCCGGGGCTGCTAGCTCTGCTCAGTGGACGGCAGGGCTGGTCCACTGGCCGTCTGGTCCCCAGTAAGCGAAGAGGCAGCAGGGCCCAGCAGGGACATCCCGAGGCCATGGAAGGATCAATCACCAGGCAGAGGTCTCCTCAGGGCGAGAACGTGGGGAGCAACCCTCAGCGCCATCATTTGCACCCAGCCAGCTCCAGAGAAGCTCAGACACATCTCGGGGCACACAAAATGCAGGAGGCAGAACTCCAGAGAGGGGAAGGAGAAAAGAAAAACACGAGTGGGGGCAGAGAGAATGGCCCCTCACAACGGGCAGGCCTGTATTCAGCTCAGAGCATCACGGCGGCCGCTGCTTGCAGATCAAATGCCAAGGAGGAGCCAGCTGCTGGGTTCTAGGATGCAACAGGAGCTGGCCCAGGGCGAGCTGGGGACAGGGGACAGGAGAGGTAAGTCATGAATGAGTGGGTTTCCGGAGGGTCCCTGGGGCTTGGCCTCTGACCAAATGTCCTCTGAACCAGGGTCTTCCGAGTAGAGTGCAAGTCCCCTGGGGACGTGGGAGCCCAGGCCGGTTAAAACACTTCCAAGTGTCCTTTTCTTAAAAGCAACATGACGGAGCAGTGGCAGCAGGCAGGGGGACCCCTCCGCTGCTTCTCCTTCCTCCTCCCCTCTCACCTTCACCTTCACCTGCTCCCACATTACAGGCAAGACAATTTTTTAAAATATGTTTTTATTAATTTCAGAGAGGAAGGGACAGATAGAAACATCAGTGATGAGAGAGAATCATGGATTGGCTGACTCATGCACACCCCTCTCTTGGGATGTAGCCTGCACCCTGGGCATGTACCCTGAGCTGACCGGGAATTGAACCATGACCTCCTGGTTCACAGGTTGATCAATGCTCAAGCACTGAGCCATACCAGCTGGGTGACATGACCACTCTCTGTCATCCACCCAATCCCACCACGCGTGTCCTCCACGGGCGGCTATCACCTCAGAGCTCCCAGCAAAGGCAAGATCTGAAACATCGTGTGTCAGACTTAGGAATCGGGTCTCGTGACGCGGAAACAATTCCTCTTGTCATTCCAGTGCTTTCCAAGTCTTAGCTCTCCACAAAACCGAAGATCTAATGGAGCTGTCAGTGGAGAGACCATTAAAAATAACGTCTGATGAGACGCCCGAATGTCATTTTGGACAGACACCTTGGAGTTAAAGAACTAAGTGACGCTGCTAATACACACCCCGCCACCCCTCCCCGCCTCCTGATTTATGTGACCAAGCTTTCTAGGCACTCGCACGTATGAAAGCCGAAACAGGGGAATTAAGTTAATGCTGAGTCCTGTCTCATCTTCAACATACAAGAAATATTAATTCACAGAAACACGAACCAATTGAAACAGAAAGCCCATCCGTTTTTATGAAAAGGTGTGTTTTCGGTAACATTTTACTTGCACGTTTACGATCACTCTAAATTTGTTTTTTGGCAAATTGTATGCTGATAACAACTCGATCTGAGGGGGGAAAAATGTTTTAAAATATAGAGCTTTATGATCCCAACGTATTTTTTTTTTAGAAATTTCAATTTCAATTTACATACATCTTGTTGTGGGAGATGAGTGTGAAACAGTGATCAATAAAAGACTCTCAAGCATAAAAAATGTATTACATCAGGGTAAAACCCTGTGAGGGAAGTGGACTGGAAATATGAGTTCAAGGAGAAAAAAGGAAAGATGTAACATTTGTGACTGTGAAAGATGGGCCTTGCTCGTAAATGGATGACGGCAGGTGCAGGCAGCAGTGGGGTTTGGGTTATCTTGGCTACATTTAAAAGAGTGGCTCACAGTTTTATTTCCAATGCCACGTTTTTACACCATATGCCAGACATTATACCCTGTGTGATTACGTAAACGTTGGATTAGAATGTTAGATGTCAACACAAAAGTGTGAAAGAGAATATCGTTTCTCAAAATTCTTGTAGGAGTTGCCAAAACCGGTTCAGCTCAATGGATGGAGCGTCGGCCTGCGGACCGAAAGGTCCCAGGTTGGATTCCGGTCAAGGGCACATCCCCAGTAGGGGGTGTGCAAGAGGCAGCTGAACGATGATTCTTTCTCATCTATGTTTCTAACTCTCTATCCCTCTCTCTTCCTCTCTGTAAAAATATCAATAAACTATATTAAAAAAAAAAAAGATTTAACATTCTTGTAGGAGACACTGAACAAAAAAGTGTGTGAAGCCATAGGTCCTTTAGATTCTCATTCCAGCAGTAACCCCAGATGTATCTGAGGCTTCGGCTAAACCCACTGGTATCTGCTTTGCATTTTTGCCCCTCCCCTTTTTAAAAATAAGCCCTTATTTAAGTTTGTTTGAGCTACCTGGTGACATGCCGAGAAGCAGGATCTCAAATGCTCCCCTGTCCCCCTTAAAAAAACACTCCCAAGCCTATTACTTCACTCTGCCCCAGTGAACCTACCGGCAGATTCTATTAGAGTCACTGATCAACCAAGACAGTATGGCTCAAGAGAGGCTGAGGGCTCTGTCCAAGGCCCCATAGCAGGGCAGACACTCTTGGCTTAGAGCCTTAAGGCCTTTTCCAATGGGGACCCTCCAACTGGACTTCCCTTCCCACCTTGGACATCCCAACGAAGAGTCTTCAGCAGAGACAAGATGCTCCTGGGAGGGTGGCCAAACCCCTCCTTTCTGGGTGGTTCAGCAAAGAGCTGAGTGTTGGTTCTGGCACGCTCGGGCACCAAGCCCTGCCAACAGCCTATTGAAACAGGAAACGAACTATCAGCTGGCCCTTTGAAGCAGACCCTGGCACCTTGGCTACTGGGCTTGTCACACACGTGGCCTTGTCTGGATGGCTGTCTGCTCTTCTGCTGCTCCTTCCAGAGCCAAGGCCCCTTCCTCCTCCTCCTCCTCCTTCCTCCCCCCTCATCCTCCTCCTCCTCCCTCCTCCTCTCCCTACTGCCCCTCTTCCTCAGGCAGCCCTCCACTCCTTGGTGCTCACAGCTCGCTGCTCGCTATCTAGAAACTTCCTTGCAGGGGCCATTTTCCCAGGAGATCCCTGACTCCCCCTCTTGCACCCCTAGAGTGACCCTCTCTGCTTGCCCACCTCCAGGGGACTCCCTCCCTCACAGATCTATATCCGGTTATAGATCTCATCATCACAAAGTCCTTCCTTTTACTGAGTGAAAATCACCTCCTGGTAACTACCTCCTATTGGCTGGGGCTGCTTGGAATGTGTCTGCCCCATCCCCTTCCACCAAAATACTTAAGAGATTCTAGCATCTCCCTGGCCCACAGACCCCATCCCCATACAAATAGCCTTAGCTCTGCCATGAGCTCCTTCCTACACTGAGTTAGTTAACGCTCTGAAAATAATCAGTTGGCCCACACCCCTCCCGAGGAAGAGCCCAGCTGGCCACTTGCACGAGGGAAGCCCTGGACCACCCACCAGGTCTCCAGGCACCTGGGGCTCCCTCTCCCTGGGCTCCTTGCCCTGTGACCTCCCTGGGTGAAGGACCAAGAGCCTCGCAGCACAGAGCAGAGCACCCACTGCTTGGTAGACATTCTGACCCCCCACGATGGGCATGCTTCTCCCTCTGAGCCACAAACTGTCCCGCGGGCTGGAGGTCCCGATGGCTGCAAACCCAGCTTGCTTTGTCCTCACCACCGAAGACAAGTGATCCACTGGCAATGCCATGGATGTGGAACTGGGGAGCAGCGTGGTCGCCCCTTGTGTATTAGCACCCCTCACCGAGGAGCTCCCGAAACCTCCCGTGTGGTCCCGCCATTCCTCGGGGCTGCTGTGCAGACGTCTGCCTGCGGCTCGTCAGGAGGGAGCAGGCAGCTGGCAGCTCACTTCCGGTTTTATCCCACAAAACTGTCAGCGTCCGTATGATCCCTGCTCTTCTCGCTAAACAAGGAAGCTCAAGGTCTTGCCCCTGAGCCCCATACCAGTGGCAGAGACATGCTTTCTAAGAGTGAGGGACGCCCTTCTCAGCACAGGGGTGGCAGCAGGGAGATAGGAGGCCGGGCAGCCAGCCAGCCTCCCAGGCACCGACACCCTTTCTGACTCTCCCAGTCCGAGAAGCTGCCAAATGCCACCCACGTGTCTGCGACCTGGGCTCGTCCATGGGAAGTGCCTCGGAGAGTATCTGTGTCATTGGGAGCACTGTTCGTCTGATGGCTGTGAGGTCATGGGGGGGAGGGACAAGGGGATGGAGCTCCGAGAGAAGGCAAATGGGAGGTTCCCTCAGGGCGCAGCACGGGTGACCCACCAGGACTGCTATTCTATTCAGCAACAGAGCCCGGCTCCGAGCCCTGAGCATGGCACTCAGGAGGCCCGTGGCTCCCCAGAGCAGTGGTCGGCAAACTGCGGCTCGGCTCTTGGGCCCCTCGAGTGTGGCTCTTCCACAAAACACCATGTGCGGGCGCGCACATACCGTGCAATTGAAACTTCGTGGCCCATGTGCAGAAGTTGGTTTTCGGCTCTCAAAAGAAATTTCATTCGTACTGTTGATATCTGGCTCTGGTGACTAGTGAGTTTGCCGACCACTGCCATCGCCCTCAGAGCCCTGCTCTCCCCTGCCGACTAACTTGGGAACATGTTAGCTCCTCGACGCCTGGCCTCGTGGCACAGGCTCATTTAAAGGGATGGCTCTACCCACACCCAGCACCCCAGCCCAGGCGAGACCCCGGGGAGTCTTTTCCTTCCAGAAGTGAGTGGGCGGGGGTGCTGTGAGGTGGAGCAGGGCCTCCACAAAGTGGAAGAAAAGTCACCAACCTGCTATATGCCTCAGGGCGGCTCTTTCTTTCCACAGGCCTTGGCCCTTCTCTAAGATGAAGGGGACGAGGGCATCACGTCTATAGCATGTGTAGCCCCACCACCCACGTCCACAGCCATGGCAGACATCAACAATCAATCCTGCCTCCCTTTAGAAGCTTCAACACAGGCTCCAATGAGCCAGCTGCAACTGGACTTGGCCCACAAGGTAACATTTACCTGCCGTCCTGTGATTAGATGAGTTCAATTCTAACATTGATGTTTGTGTGTGTGCGTTTTGCCGTTGTTAAATGCTTTTCTTTCCTGGTGCTGAGGCCAAGCCACATTCCTCTAGGAGCCTGACCCTTGGCAGAAACTACACCCTCAAGGAAGGTCAGGCTGGATGGATGCGAGAGAAGCAGCCATGACCAGCAGGGGGCGCCCTGGGCCTGTTTGGCAGGGGCTCCATTAAAAAGGTGGTTCCATTTCTTGTCATTGGCTTTTACACCTTTTCACAAGGGTGTGCCAAAAGCAGGTAACTTCACAAGATACTCAAAAGTTCCTGAGTTCTCGGGAGGCTATACTGGAAGGAGCGCGAGGGACTGGATCCGTTAGTTTTCAGATGAGAAAACTTGAGGCCCCATTAGAAGCCCTGTCTTCTGAGACTTCATCCTCAAGTTTCTTCTCCATCCCGTTTCTTCTCTCTCTGTCACACTGGCTTATGACTTACACTTGGACAAACGCAGAAATATTACTACTCCTTCCCCTTGAAGAGGTACTTTTTTTTTTTTTTTTAACTATTAACACCATTACTAACAATAGCGAAGTAAGTACAACGTTGAGCGCTTTACAAAAATCATTTTTTTAAAATATATTTTTATTGATTTTTTACAGAGAGGAAGGGAGAGAGAGAGAGAGCTAGAAACATCGATGAGAGAGAAACATCGACCAGCTGCCTCCTGCACACCCCCTACCGGAGATGTGCCCGCAACCAAGGTACATGCCCCTGACCGGAATCGAACCCAGGACCTTTCAGTCCGCAGACCGACATTCTACTACTGAGCCAAACCGGTTTTGGCTACAAAGGTCATTTTTATTGAATCCTCAAATAGCCCAATGAATCTGCAATAGTGAAACCTGAGGCACAGAGAGGTCAAGAAACTTGCCCAAGGTAGAACAGCTAGTGGGCCACAGAGCCTGGATTCACTCCCAATCCGAGGAGACGAGTTCGTTCTCGAGGCACAACAGTGCTCCCTTCCACTTCCTCCCGTGAGTCCCACACCCCGCCAGCAGCCGGGACAGGGAGCACGCCTCATTTAACAGAAGAAGACACTAAGGCACAGCGAGGCCAAGGGAAACCAGCTTGGTGACTGGCAGGAGGCCAAGGCCCTGAGGCTCTCACTGTGCAGGCAGCTGGCCCAGGGCGGGCTCCCCACATGTCCCCAGCATGGCTGCTCCAGGCTTTCTCCTCTGAATCCAGGCTGCCAGCTCCATCCCAGGATTCAAATTCAACTACCCTTCTGGGCAGCTCCTCGTGAAGGACATAAACAGCTCCTGGGTCCAGTGAGTCTTAAAACACCCCTGTACCCCAACCCCATGTGAACAAGGACATGTCCTCTCCTCGGTGAACGAACACATCTGGTGGCTAACAGTCCTCAGCCTTGGGGAATGAACACTGATGGACGAAGACCAGACACAGGCCCCTGAAGAGAGTCTTCTCTCGAGGGGCACTGGGCTAAGTCCTTCACGCTCTTCACCGAGTATCTCGGGCTCATCCTCCTCCTGTCACGTGTTAGCATGGCCTTTCCCGGCCTCCCCCAGGTTGGGCTGGCCACGGCACTAGTTCCGGCCCAGGACTGCATGGAACTAGCACTGCTCACAGCGGGTTGCAGCAGGTTAACTGCCAGGGTGAGTCCCCTTAGCGTTTTCTTTCCCTTTGACACAGGGTGGCAGCTTTCCCTACCATGGCTGCTGGTAGCCTGGGCCCAGAGCAGAGCGGAAACCCTAGCTGACCCACAATGGGCATGTCATGTGACTGAGAAATGAACTTTTGTGGGTTCTAGCTACCAAAGATTGCTTTTTTTTAACTTGTGGGGTCTTCATTTCTGAGGCATAACCTAGCCCCATCCTGACAGTTTCACCGCCAACATCAACCCTGTTTCCTAGAAGCTCGGGCTTGGCTAGGAGAGCCTAGGGACAGTCCACTTCCCAGAGTTCCTAACCTCGTGGCAGACGAGCATGGACCAGGCAGCTCTAACGAGAAGTGCCCCGGTGAGAGACAGGGTAGAAACACACCACTTCTGACCAGAAGAGATCAAGGCAGGCTTCTGGGAGGAGGTGGCAATGTAGTTGGCCTTGAAGGATGGGTTGGACTGGGGCGTGAGGAAACGGGCAAAGGCATTCCGAGGAGAGGGAACAGCAAGGGTCAAGGGCAGGAAATGCTGCAGAACAGACTGCTGGAGTGAAAGGCCCGGGAAGATCAGAAGTAAGAAATGAGGCTCAGGTTATGGAGATTCCTGGTGCTATCCCCTAACACAGCTGGGAAGCCCGAGAATAGAATCAGGACGTGACATGCTCAGTGTCCCGCTTTGGCCAAGGCCCCTGGCAGCCAGAAAGGACAGCAGGGGAAGGCAGGGAGACACAGAGGCATGGTTGTTAGCGGGATGCCACAGGGACCCAGGTGGGGCTGATGGTGGCCACAGCCAACAAAGGAACGGGTAGAACAGGGAGCTCGAGGCTCATTCCCAAGGTTGGAAAGACAAGGCAACAGGGCTTGAGCCAAACTTAGGGAAACAGACACAGGGGAAGTTCCCCGCCTTGGGCGTGAGCCTAGACGTGAGGAGTGAGTTAGGGCTGGACCAGGAAGGACCGGCAGAGGAGAGGGAGATGGCGAAACGCCTTAAGAACTTCTCAGAACACACTAAACGGGGAAAGCAAGGAGGAAGGCACTCCGAAACAGACCAGGCGAGGCCTGGATGCCAGGCCGGGGCCTGTGGGCCTTATCTTGCAGACGTAGGTTTGCGAACTTCTGGCCCAGGGAATGACGCTGACCCACAGACATGTTTTGTTTGGAACCTTCAGTTGCCAACATTTTAAAGCCAAAGGAATCCGCATGAAAATTCCCGTTTCTGGCACGCGCTATGTGCCCAGAGAGCTGGCCACGCGGAGCCTGTCTCCCCACCAACGACGGTCGGCAGCAGCTGAGGCGCGGGCCCCCCTGCACGCCGGGTGTGGGCGCTCCAGCTGGACTCGGTCCCCGCCACCTGTCTGCCTGGCTCGTCCCTCCCTGCGCTAAATAAACATATCTGCTGGGCCTGGAGAACCTGGCAGGAACGCAGGCGGCCCGAGGGGTATCCCCTGGCTCATGCTGGGAAGGGAGGGGAGGGATGATGTCTAAGAAGCTTGCTTCCTCAGAGCTCTTCCGAGCCTGGCACAGACCAGAAGGGGCAGGGGAAGAAGGTGCCAGTCCATCCCCCATCCGGTCCTGACACTGCTCAGAGCATGACCTGCACTGGGAGCTGCCCGGGGTGTCTCCAGTCCAGCCGAGGAGGGGGAAATACCTCCTCGGCTGGACTGGAGACAATACCGACAGGCTTGGGGACACCAGGCAATGCAGACCCCCCCTGGGGTATGGGAGCCCATGCATGAGGGACTGACCCCTCTGCAGAATGTTCCAGGCATTTGACACAAAGTCTCAAAGGATGCCTGGTGTTTTGTCACGTCAGGTGGGAAGAGGAGAGCTCTAGACCAGAGCAGTGCCGGCAGAGGTAAGTCTAAGGAGACCAGTTCCTTCGCTGAGGGCAGAGGGCAGCCACCACAGGCTCGCAGCCAGGAGGGGCAGCGATCTGGGGCCTTCTCTGCCCAGGACTCCGGGCCCAGCCCCAACCCCCTCAGGGCAAGCACTCACCGAGGGTCTGCTGGTTGCGGACACCACCGATCACCACGCAGATCTCGGCGGGCACATCGCCGGTCCCGTCCTTGCTGACCGCCTTTCCTTCCTCCTTGGCCTCGCCCTGCCAGATCACCTCCTGGATGTAGTCGTCGGGCACCTCCGTCTTCACCTTCACCTCCGTCATCGTTCCCTGCTCGGCACTCAGCGAGGCCTCGGCCGGCCCGGGCTCCGGCCCCTCCACCTTGGCGCTCTTCTGGCTGCGCTTCAAGCGCTCCCTGGGAGAGAAGACAGTCTGGTCAGTGTGGAGCCCACGCCCACCCCCAAGCCCACCTGGGGGCCCAGCAGCCCAGGGCGTGGCACAATCTTTAGCTCCAGACCCACCTGCCCCATGAACCTCTCCTTGAAGCACGTGGTCATGGCTGCCCCTGAGTGTCCTCCAGGGAACCCTGGGGTTCCCAGGAACACAGTTTGAAAATACTGGGGCTAGCCTGGCTCCACCAGCACTCATTTTACAGACGGGGAAGCTGGGGTCTAGAGAGGTCTGCCTGTGCCCAGGAACTCCTGAAACTGGCTCTGGCTGACGGAAATAACATCTCAAGCTTCACACACAAATCAGCTGAGAATCTTGGCAAAACGCAGATTCTGGTTCAGCAGGTCGGGGTTTGGCCTGAGATTCTACGTTTCTAACAAGCGCCCCCCTGACGCTGGCGCTGCCGCCAATCCTCCTTCCGCACAGGCAGCAGCAAGCGTGCACGCGGCTCGATGTGCGAAGTGTCTGGTGCTGTTCGCTTCGCTCCTTGGCGGGAGGCCTGGAGACCTCATCCAAGCTCTCCCCTCTCCGGTGTCACAGATGGGGAACTAGGAGCCACAGAGGCTCCCTCGGTGGAGAAGTCCTGGAGCCAACACTTGGCGCCCAACACGCTGGCCTCTAAGTGGCTCTTCGAACATCAGAAAACATCCTCCAGGTAAGAGCTCAGTACGAAGGCCTAGAACAGAGCTGTGACCAGCCCAGGGCATGGAGCCCGGTCCCTGCCATTCGCTCCTGCATGGCTTTATCATAAGGACACGCTCATGCTTCTGGCAGGAGGCTGTCACCACGGCTCCTGTTTCTGAGGTGGGGAAGCTAAGACGTGCACAAGCTGGGAAATCAAGTCATAGTCCAGGCCTGGGGCTGCTGCCCTGGCCGCACCCAGCCGTCCCCACTGCTCCAGGGAAGCGTCTGCAGGGCGATCTTCAAGGCCCAGACTCCAGGCCTGCTCGGGCAAGACCCACTGGCACACGAACTGGGAAGCAGGGCCCCAGGTTCTGACCCAGGACCCACAGTAGACTTGCTGTGTGACTCTGGACAAGACCCTTCTCCTCCCTGGGCTCCACCTTCACCTATCACAACAGCATGGGTTTTATCACATCCGCTGTCCCTCCCAGCTCTGGCAATGGTGAAGAAAGTGAGCTGGGGGGGGGGGGGGGGAGAGAGAGAGAGAGAGAGAGAGAGAGAGAGAGACGGACACAGAGAGAGCCCCAAACTAACAAGGGGGCAAAGAAAGGCCACTGGAATGTGCTATACACTAAATTGTGTCCTCAACTCTCCAACTCATATGGTGAAGTCCTAATCCCCAACGTGACTGTATCTGGAAGTCAAAAGGGTGGGGCCCTAATCTGACAGGACTGTGGCCTCAAAAGGAGAGACAGAGGGATTCCTCTTTCCCTGACTCTGTCCCCAGAGCGTGAGGACAGAGAGGAGGTGGCTGTGTGCAAGCTAGGAAGAGGGTCCTCACCAGCACCAACCATGCTGGCCCCCGAGCTCAGACTTCCAGCCTCCAGAACTGGGAGAAAGTGTCCTGTCGATGGCACTTGGTTATGGCGGCCTGAGCTGACTAATACAGGACTCCCCTTGGCGAGGCCCTCACTGGTCCCAACCCAGACTCCCCGAGCACAGCTTCCCAAGACCAGCAAAGAGGCCGGCTGGAGCAGGTGTCCAACCTGCCCGTGTCCTCCACAGCGAGGTCATGGGCAGGGCAGGGCCCCTTCCCTCAGCCCTCCCTTCACTGGTCGTGTTTGGAAGCTCAGCCTGAGTCCTGTGAGCACTTGAATAGGGACTCAGTGTCCCTTTCTGCTCTGCAGGACCTCACAAGCATCAGGGCGTCCTGCTGAGGGAGGAGCTGTTGGGAGTCAGAAAGGCTGGGCATCCATACACCCTGTGACCACGGGCCAAAGATTCCCTTCTCTGAGCCTCAGTTTCCTTCTCGATTAAAGGGGAACCATAATCCTTGCTAGGACGGGGGCAGATGAGCCAGGGAGCTGGCAGAGAGCAGGTTTCCATGGGTGGCGGCTGTCATTATGAGGCTGACATCCCCACCCCCGCGAGCCTGCCCTGTCACTGGGGATGCAGTTAGAACCTCTCTCCGAATGTCCCATCTGCATCGCACTGGCGATCTCCGCACTTGACACTGGGACCCAGTGAGCCCTCCCCTCACCCACAGGCACCACGGCACACAACATACGCTCCCTTACATGTGACACCCCTGAGGCCCTGCTACTCGGGGGACACGGCTTCATGCTTTAGATTTACAAGCACAAATGTTGCTTTTCTCGGCTGCTTTGCATTTAATTAGGCGTCCTAATAACAATGGGATCGCAGGAGTACTTACATCACTTTGAATTAGTGGCGCAGCTCCTTCTAACTTCTGCACGGAAAAAAAAAAATTTTTTTTTCCATCTATCATTTTTTAAAATAGAGCTCATTATTTTAATTATATCCATTTAAATGTACAGTGGAGCCCTTGGATATTCTCAGCACGAATCATTAGGTATATTAGTGAAAAGCACTCGGAATCTATCTGCACGCTGACACTCCACAATCTATTCTATTTGTGTCTCTGTAAAACAGATTTATATATAGATAACTACAAAATAGTTGCTCAAGATATGCTATGAATTTTATATTTAGCCCGAGTCACACTTCAACATAAAAAATCTAAAGCCGGGCACCGAGAGGCCTTTTCTCAGCAAGTACATAGCGTCTGTGGTCGCTGGCTACGCCTCATGCCAGAATGCTGGGAGAGAAGCCAGACCAAGCGGGTTCTTGCCCAAGGAATTCCCTAAGAGCCTTCGCCTTTTACTACAGTGATGGTTCTCAAAGTGTGTTCCTTAAAGGCCTAGGGGTTCCTTAGCAGTGGCCCTTAAAGCACTCATGAGGCCTGAATGAGGAGGGTGGTCTTAAACAGGGTTCCAAGACCCCCCTCTCTCTGATATGATAGCTTGGTCTAATGTATATATGTTTGGGCTTCTTTCTCCCTGTAGAAGGGTATGGTAAATGGCACCCCTGCCCGCACGCGCCTCCCCCCCTCAATATATGCCCACATCCTAATCCCTAGAACCTATGAATGAGACTTTATTTAGAAAAAAAGGTTCTTTCTAGATATAAATAATTGAGGGTTTTGAGATGAGATCATTCTGGGTTATCTGGGTGGGCCCTCAGCAATGAGAAACCCTTAAAGCAGGGTGGGAAGCATCCAGCTCGCTGGCCACACAAGGTCCCAGGAAATAATTTGGGTCAACACATTAGGGGTGAGTTAATTAAATGTCTGACCAACAATAACAGGTTATTTAAAAAAAAAATTTTTTTTATTGATTTCAGAGAGGGAGAGAGAGATAGAAACATCACCGATGAGAGAGAACCATGGATCGGCTGCCTCCTGCACACCCCCACACTGCGGATCGAACCTACAACCCGGGCATGTGTCTGATTGGGATTCGAACCGTGACCTACTGGTTCCTAGGTCGATGCTCAACCACTGAGCCACGCCGGCCGGGCACAGGCTAATTTTTAAGTCGATGATTCTGTATGGCCCTCGGGTGACGTTATACATATCCGAACGGCCCTTGGCTGAAGAAAGGTTCCCCATCCTGCCTTAAAGGGACACACAGGAGAGTGGACAGACACAGAGATGATAAGTGGACAGACACAGTGGGGCGGCGGCAGCATGGCCACGGGAAGGGATGCAGCTGGAAGTCAGGGAAAGCGCAGCCACCAGAGGCTGGGAGAGGCCAAGAGAAGACTCTCCCCACACCCCGCAGACCCGTGACCCTGCCAACACCTTCATTGTGGACCTGGGGCCTCCAGAACTGTGAGAGCAAACTTCTGCGGCTCTAAGCCACCCCCGTTGGTGGTAATTTGTTACAGCGAGAAAACGGATACACTACATCCGACTCAGTCTGAAGAAACAGCTCCCAGTGGTTATGTCTGTAAACCACTGCCCTCCACCACCCTCCGTTTCCTTCTGCTTCGTTCCTCCTCGTCTCTGGGACTGCATTTGGCCGGTCCCATGCGCCCAGAGAGCCTGCCTGGGACGGCTTCAGAGCAACTCTCTTCCTCTGGGTGTTCCCAGATGGTCCTCCAAGTGCTTAGACCCACTCCATCCCATCCGGCGCTCACAAGAGCCCTGTGGTCCAGAGGGAGCAGCCGCAGCACAGAACAGCCCCCTTCACACCACATGCCCTGGGTGCACAGGCCTGGTGCACAGCAGGCACTCCATCCACCCAGGGAGCACACGGCATGCCTGAGGTCACACAACTTCCAGCAATGCTTCTGTTCTGGAAACCATTCTTCCAGCTCCATGATGGGACCCGGCCCCACGAAACTCTGCAGCCAGACACAGTGCAGCCAAATAACAAATCAGTAGATTTGAGGCCCGAGGACAACTGTCACTTCTGGCCGCGTTGGAGGAAGAGTCTCAGGTGAAGCCAGGTGCCCAGAAGTCAGACAGCTTTGTTACTGGGTACGACGTCCACGCCATAACCCAAAATGCCAATGCCTGCTGGGCCCAGTGTTCTCCCGTGCACACACGGAGTGGGTGGGACCTCTAGGCAGCAGGTGCGCCTGTCTCCTTGCTCGGGATGGGAATCAATGCATCCATCGAACCCCAAGACTCAGCCTGAGGACACCCCACTCCCTCCGAAGGCTACTGCTACTTGAACCACCTGGAACGGTGGAGAGGGGGGGAAATCTCTAATCACAGCGTGTAAATAATGACTCGGTGAACTCCCTCCGGAACACAACTTCATTAAAGACTCCAGTCATTAGGAATGAGGGTTAACTGGTCTCCAGCTGTGCTTAGCACACGCTTCAGAACAGACGGCTGCGTGGGGTGTTCGGCGAGTGAACGCACATCCAACCGCGGCGTCGGGGGCTGTGCTTACGCTGCTGTGGGGGCTGACCACTGACTGGCCCAGGGCTCCAACTCTACCCACTGGGCCGCCTCCCAAGGATCTGAGA